AGGACGCCGCGACGGTGGCCAACGTACTTTTCACGGATTTCATCCGTGAACATGGCATCCCCACAAGCCTACATTCCGACCAAGGCCGTCAGTTTGAAGCGGAGACTATGAGATCCCTTTACAAGGCACTGGGCATAGAGAAGACCCGTACAACCGCCTACCACCCACAAGGGGACGGCTTGGTGGAGCGGTTCAACAGAACACTGAAAGACATGCTCTCCAAATACGTCTCCACCACCGGTGATGACTGGGATGATCATCTCCCACATGTCCTGCTCGCCTATAACACTTCGGTGCATGCCTCAACAGGCTTCACACCCTTTTTCCTCACCCATGGGAGGGAAGCGAACTTGCCGGCAGATGTGATATTCGGCCCAAACCCGCAGGCATCATCAACCGTCACCTCAATGGCCTACGCCCGGTCCTTGGCGTCCAGCCTCCGGACAGCCTTCAAACAAGTGCGGCAAAACACACGGCAGGCAAGCAACAAACAGAAGTTGGCCTACGACGTCAACGTCTCGCACAAGCCCTATCAGGCTGGCGAACGGGTATGGCTCCACGATCCCACTACCGTACGACAGAAGCTGAAGCCCAAATGGAAGGGGCCTTACACTGTCATAGAGCGGCTCCTCCAAGACGGTGAACCAGGCGTCACGTATCGGATCCAAGACACCAAGGGCCGAAAACAAATAGTCCATTACAATAGGCTAAAAAAATGCCATACCCTACCTCAGCGGGATCATGCTGTGAACTTGCGGGCCGCACCAGCGACGAATCAGCGTGACACCTCCAACCCGCCGTCACCAGCGGCGAATCAGCGTGACGCCTCCAACCCGCCGTCCCAGGGGACTGGTGTGACAACGAGAAGAGGTCGTCGGGTGCGACCACCGTCCCGATACGACGACTTTGTGGCTGTTAGGGACTGACACCGCCCTTCATCCAGCTCCACATGTATTCACCCCTTGATGGACAAGGGTCTTTGCAGGACATATTGCTGCGTTGCGGAGATTCATGGGATTACCCGCAGACACATGACTGTGCAGGACATATTACTGCGTTGCGGACCCATGGGATTACCCGCAGACCAGTCCTTCTGCCGAACTTGACTATTAGTGGGCAGAACTGGACCAACCAGCCTGCAGAACTGAACAGTTCTATACAACTACATATATACCTAACGTTATATATTTTTCTTGTTGTTTCGTTATCCCATTATTGTTATTCGTCATTATATTCTGTAGTTAATGAGTCGTTCCAACGATGTTATATAGTTGATATATTCACCACGTTATGTATCGTTAACTTCAGGAGAAGTTAAGTTCTTCTACATAGGGGGGAAGCGTGTAAGGATACAATATACACCCCCACAAAAACTATTGGACCAGTCCGGTCAGAGGTCACGGACTGCACATGTTCTGACAAGAATACATTTCATATCCCAGCACTTCTCGCATCTTCATTCCTGGAGTGATTACTTATAAGTTCCAATATCTTCACCAACTGGACACTTATAATAGTATAGTTATAAATAATAAAATTGAATCTCAAAGTTATTTGTTTAAACGCGTTGCATTTCTATTCAATGCTATACTTTCAAGAAATTTTGTTCACTGCAATCATAGTGCAATACCTGCATTTTGTCCTTCCCCACTTCCCATAGTCAAATGTCTCTTTTCTTTTTCTAGAGCTTGGGCGATGGCAAGCAGCAGATGCTTAAGATGCACCGTGATGCTATGGAGGTAAGACATGTTTATCCAGGATAGTTTTTTTTTTAGAATTTGCTAAAGTGAACTTGAAACTATTCACAAGCAGCGGTATTTAATTCTGGCAAGTTAATATTGATTTTTACCAGATGTATTGTCCAGAAATGACTTTTTTCCTTCTGTATACAGTCGTACCAGAAGGAAGTTGAAGATCTGAAAGCAGATTTGAGCAGAACTGAACACCAGTTAAGGGTAAGTACGTGCTGTTTTATAGCTGTCAATAAATAGGACTGAATTTTGCACCTGAGACTTTGTGTGGTTATTAACCATTGAGTACTATTATTCTGAAGTTGTTTTCTGCCCCCCTCCCCGCCTGTCCTGTCCACCAGGCTAGGAATACAGAGGTGGAACAGCTGAAGGCCAACCTGAGCCACCTGCGACTGCGGTACACGGAGGACATCCAGGGACGTGACGCTCACATGCATGAGCTACAGAGACAGGTCACTGACCTCCAACACTACTGTAACAGTGCAGAGGAGGTGGGTTCTTACCTTTCATTCAATTATCTTTCATTCCTTCATTCAAAGAAACTGGACCAGCATAATGGAGTAAGTATTTCTGGGATCAGTACTATACAATCATATATTCCTTAGACCTCACTATGCTGACATTAAAAGCACTTCACAGGTACATTATTTCCTCCAGTTTACCTCATTGTAAACCTTATTGCTAAAAGACAATGTTGACTTCAAGTTTGTTTTTCATCTCTTTTTTTTGCAGAGGTACTTCTACTCCCTGGTAATTGGTGTAAAGCTGAACATGTCTGCACAGGGTTACAAAACAACACACATAAACCAGCTCAAACCACAGGTTAGGTCTCATTAACTAGCTAACAAAGTACACCGGTCACCTGTAATACATCTATACACTTGCACTGTTAGTAACTTGTGTAAGTACATGTATAGATTTAGTGATTCAGATCACAAAGGTCGTCATAACATAATCTATTCAAAATCTAACTTTACTTGGAATTCCTTACAACCTCCCTGATGTTATAGGTATTTGTTAGACAGACAGTTTTGAAACATTTTTTTACTTCCATCTAGACGCTGTATGAGAGAATCCGCAGTACGGGGACGAGTGTTGAACACTGGCCGGGCTGGGTCGCTCGAGAGCTGGCCTCACTTGCACAGCCCCTCACCAGGCAGTAGGATAAAAACACTTTGTCTTGCAATAGTTTTGGCACTGACTCATTTACAAATTGTAAGACATTTTCCCATGTGCTATGAAGTGTTCACCAATGATGATAAGCAAGACTCACAGTAACTTCTCCATTTCCGGCAGCCAGTGTTACTAAGTGACAAGCATTATCTTTTGGAACAAATGTTACTGTTGAATTTGTGTCAATGTCATCAGAATGATTGTTTATTTTATCATCAGTTCATTGCATGCTTTAAATGAAACTCAATTGATTTTAATAGACAGATGCAATGTTTTTCTCAATGGAGTGTGTATATATCTATATAGTTACTGTGTATGAAAAGCAATGCAGTCCTATTACGGACTGTATGGTCCAATACTGACATACTTGTCTTAGTACTCGTTAAAGCAATTTTGTTGACAAGTTAACCTTTCGGAAAAGAAATTGTCAGTGAATATGTCTCTGGACTGTTTGACTCATAGCAGGCTGCCTGGCAGCAACAAATTTAACATGCCACTGATCTATTTTGATATCAACCACCAGTATGTTCAACAAATGATCTAAGATATATCCAGCCTCATGGAAACTTGAGGTATGCTTAGGTTGGATTTTATCAAATTGATGTTATCAAACTGTAAATATTTTACAGTATATCTCAAATGATGTATTCTCCATACATGTATCATGTACCCAAGGACCTAGAAAGCTGTGAAGTCACTAGGAGGATAGTCAGTGTTAAGGTAAGTTCAGCACCAAGGACAGGACCAGTATGACATCACTAGAGGGATAGTCAGTTAAAGGTTAAAATACATTGTATGTGAATATTCTTTTAGGTGACAGATCTTTATTCAAAGAAATGGAAGTGTAAATTATGCCCTTTTTAGTAAGTCTACACCTATAGGCAATGCTTCTTCTTGTCGCAAATTACCTTTGAGCCTTAAGAACAATTAGCTTGAATATATAAAAGGAATTCTTTGTACCTAAAGAGGTATTTTGTACCCAAAATCTTATTTTGATTAAATAATTTTCTTGGAAACGTGTCTGTAGTTGATATTGATGTCAAGCAACTGCATAAATTCTCTGAAGACTCAGATGTTCCAGATAACGTCTGCTATATTTTATCTATGACCGACTACTGTTTACAAGTATGAGCTCATGTGTACTCATGTAGCAAGCAATTTTGATTCAACGTTACTCATAGCTGCTTTAATCCAACATCCAATCTTTGATGTAATTCCAGGTAGCATGTTACTTGTTATCTTGAATTCATTGTTACACGTTGTTGCAAAATTCCTTGTACCGTTATTGTGAAGTTGAATACCAGATTGTCAAAAAATTGCAAGGTCCACAGAGTAGTAAAATTTGCCAGAATGCAAACACAAATAATGAGACTTGTAAGTGTCAGAATTTGTTGTAGTACCATATTGAATTCACATGAACAATTTTGGGATTGGCCTTTAAACAAGGTGTTACATAGACAGCATAAATTTCTACTGGATAGACTAAAGGGGATTAACAGTAAGGAGGGATATGTACCAAGACAAACCTATCACTTGTAATAAATATAACACGTATATAGGTCCTGGACATTCAACATTGCTATGTCATACCATCAAATCACAATGTCCTTTTAATGTTTACAAAGTATTAATTTAACCAAATACCCAGTAATTGATTATTGCAATTTTTCAGACATGCCATATACATTTTGCATTTAATCAGTTTACACATGCAATTGGATCATATACAGGTAGAAAATTTCTCTTTAAGACATGTTCCTTTTCTACAACTATAGCCTGTCGCAAGCTAATAAAGACAATGCTAGAACAGATTAATAATTATGTCCTTTCCATATTCATTGGCTTATGGTCTCTTCATAGTTACTTTAAACACATTTTCCCTTGAGAAGTATTCAAAGGGCAGAAGGTCTGTATAAAAGTGTTTTGTTTGTCCATGACCATCCATTTTCCAGTCTACTGTAACTTGAGTGTAGTTCTGTCAGTATCCTACCAACAGCATGTTACTGAACAGTATGTGTTACTCTGTACACAGTAGAGAACAAATTTCTCGTGTCCTCTCCTCAAGCTTCTTTCCTTGTAGTACAGCTACCAACTGTGGATTTCTGAATGGAGTAAAAATCAAATGTCACATTTTGGAAAACTGGGAATTTTGAAAATATAATTGACTTACAGATTTAAGTACTGACAGAGACAAAGATACCATAATACATAGGCTAAGACAGATTCTTTCAATTGACAGGTGACACTTAACTGGATATTTAGCAAGATAAAATACATTGTGTGTATGAAATCATAAGTGACCAGTAAGATGCAAACAAATAAACCAACTGACATGCAAACAAACAAATCCCTACCTATAACTTCATTCAGGTGGTTGTTGAGCCAGTCTTGTGTGATGTCATCCAGGTGGTTGTCAAAGTCCACCATGTTCCTAAAAACTTTCTGGTTCAGGAGTCCAGATGCAGCCGATAGACACTGCTCGTCTAACGTGATGCTGTAATGTACATTTTCAAAACTTTGCCCTTTTCTTATTCCCTGACACAATGTTGTATTTCTAATTAACAACTTAATACAAATGGTTATGTTACCAGTATATATTTCTTGTCTAAAAGTTAATATTTCAATGAACTAAACTTTATATGGGTATATTTTCTTATCCATATCTCAGGCAACAGCAAAGAAAAAACTCAACCAAAGTGAGTTACTTCTCCAACTGCAATCAAGAAATCTAACTCACCTGTCTGGATTTCTCTCCTTGAATTTGCCTTCTTGTAAAGCGTACACTCTGAACACAGCATCTTCCATGTCAGGAGTCATTTTAGTGTTGTCAACCTATGGAGTACGTTACATGTAACAATAAGAAAACTGATGCTATATTTATGTGAAAATCCTGAAAATAGGAAGGTACAAATGTTTTATTAATGATAAATACAGCATGACAGATGGAAAAGCCATACTAGTACTTGTACATGCTTGAACAGGATATCATCTGTTACACTTATAGACGTACACAATGTATAGACCTACCAGAGACTTGATAAGCACAGTTTCATGTTTGATCAAAGAAACAGCTGTTGTGGTGTATGCACGATTTATAAGGGGCAGGTTACTTACCATGTATAATGATGCATCATTGAAGTTGTCACATATTCTCTCCATGACTTTGTGTGTAATGGCATTTGGGCTGTAATAAAAGGGTACATAAAACACAGTGTAAATTTTCAATATACTGATATTGAATCAATCTTCATTTCTAAGACTGCTCTCTGATTACACAATTATATCTGCATATACATGTAACATAATTAGTAGATTTACATATTTCACTGTGACATCTTTGTTTTTGCGTTCTTCCAGCTTGGCTGGTGGATTTAGCTGGCTGTGTACAATTCTGTTCTTTTCTATTGCAGTTGTTGATAACATTCTGCCGTGTGTTCAGTCGTTCCCTCGGTCACAAATCATTTTCTTGTTTGCACAACGTTCCAAAATTACTAGTAATTTCCATAAATTTGTACCTGGAGTCCTTGACGTGCTCATTCGCGTGGTAGTACCCTGCGATGATCAACTTGTTCTGCTCACAGTAGGCATCAATCTAAAAAAAAAAAAAACATACACATATGAATGTTAGTCGTTTAACAAAAATCACAGAATGAGAAAGTGCCCCCCTCCCACTCGTACATATTCAGGGATACGAACCTGTGACAAAGCGACCTCCAACATGGGCGCCAACCCCAGCGCTAGGTGAAACAGCGGCACACATTCCACTACACACACGATCTTGTCGTCCTTGTATCTCTTCCTGTCAGCCAGGAGCACGCCGTTGACGGCGCAGTGCGGGTATTTGGCCGCGTGAAGAACGAGCTTCACGTACGACCGCACGCTTATTTCGATTTCCGCCATTTTGGAAATAACCTCTGAACTTCCGTTGGGAGAACACACTTTGGTTACGTCATATCTACACAGCAGACCAAAAACCATTTCTATACATTTAATAATCATATCTAACTATTACAGTCTTACTTTGATATATGTCATCTGACGATCTGTCAGCTTTTGATCTATGTATTAAAGGTAGATTTATTACATTTCATCCCCATATCACAATGGTTTGATCCAAAAAATTAAGGTGACTGTCTCTTTTTTATACCTCCATGCTGACAGAGACAGTGCAAGGTGTCTTTCTTCAGTGGAGCACACAGTATCGTCAATTATGTTACCGATACATTGGTTGGAATAGGACTGGTCAAGACTGAATGCTATGGTAATTTGATTCTTCACCCCTAAGTTTTTGTCAAAGCTTCAGAACATTCTTGGTTTGAATCATAAATTTTGCCAGTCTCACCTGTTAAGAAAACACTGAATGATGCTGGGAATCAGCCTTGCCCTGTGTGCAGGGCTGTTTGCAGCCCTGGCATCAGTGTGTGCCAAGATTGCCATGGCAACAGAGGAGGCAGCTGCGACCTGCCAGGTGCTGGTGTATCAGGTGTCGTCCCTCCTGCAGCAGGAACAGGGCGATGGGTCCGAGGCCTTCTGTGGGTTGGTAAGTTTGTGTGATGTCGACTGTGTGTAATAATCATTTTCCCATCTTCTGATACCTTTACATTCACGCACATTATTGCAGTCAATAAAGATATAATAAATAACGACTCCTAATAAAAATGATTGCCCTTGACTTTAGGTCCTGACGTACTTTCGGATGACCTGTTTTGGGATGGTGTTTGTGTTGAATGCTGTGATGTGGGTGTTCTTCACCAAGGCTCTGGCAACCTGCAAGTCCTCCGTGGAGGCCACAGTCACCAACACAGCCGCTAACTTCTTTTTCTCAGTAAGTTTCTCCTTGTCAGTTACATAATCACGTAGCAAGCTGTAGATCTGTGTGTAGTGTCATAATACCATAAATATTGCTACCAGTATAACAGATTCTAAAAATACTAAAAACATATACTATGTAATGTTGAATGTCTTATGTACGACTATTTGTGAAATTCTTCTTCCTGTTCTTCCTATAGGGTGTCCTGGGCAGGGTTCTATTCCATGAGGCCCTGTCACTGCTGTGGTATGTAGGAGCATCCTGCATCGTTGTTGGACTGTTGTTCATACACAGGGGAAGTGACACAGGCGAAACAGATCCACTGACTGCGACTCATGTCTCAGAACAGGACAAGAAGCACAGATAACAGGAGCACAACTAATGCTTCATCACATGTATTTGTACTGTACCACAGACTAGTTTTGTCCTTTTAGACCTTAGTTATGGATACAAAAGAACATTCCAAAGTTGTTCCCAAAATCTTAATTACCATTAATTAATTAATCAATTAATTGATAATTGTTTCTGGCCTGCCTCAACTTCCAGATTTCTGAAGACTAGAACCACGGCGGTACACAACAAGATGGAATTCAAGGCTACCATAGTTTATTACATGTAACAGTTATGTTATATGACTGCAAAATCATCTGTAATATATAACAGAATATCAGTGACTGCAAAATCATCTGTAATATATAACAGAATATCAGTGACTGGTCAATAAAGTTTTATGTAAAATCAACTGTGTCAGTGTATTGTTTTCTTCATTGTCTATCATTGATGACAAAAAAGAAATAATGTTTTCATACTTTAGAAAATGTTACCCTAACTGTGCTATTAGATTTTTGTGCCTGTTCCGTTTGAAATGATTTTGATAGATTTATTTAGAGGAGGCGAAGAATGCCCGTAAAACTGCAAAGTTATTACGAACGGACCCCCAGGAGGACGGGGAAGCTTAGGGATGGCTTTTCAGCACCAAGGACTAGCCATGCATGACACCAAGGACAAAGACAACTTCAATTGTGGAAGTTATGATGAGGACAATGAAAACTGTGACGAGTAAATAAATCTACAGACAAGAAAGACACAGTTGCTATAATTTATTGACCAAGGACATTGCATGTATCAAAGATATTTAGACATGATTTTTTAATTACTAGCAAAACATCACGTCTTCTGTCACTGTCACTACTGAATGTGGCAAATACAAGTAGACAGGCATGTCCTGTTAGTGGCTATTGTTGAGTCCAGCATTAGTGTTAACATTACACTTGTTGCACCATCAGATACAGCACATGGCCACACTTATAATGCACAACAGTTCAAACTTTTTGGGTAGTTTGTATCACACTTTGATATCCCAGTTATGCTTAGAATGAAACATACAAACAACTAAGCACAGAGCATCTGAGGCTATTGCATATGATTTGCTTGTTAAGGTGATTTTAGGAATATTTTGCACTGGTGTATGATACTCAGCAAGGTATGCTATATTATACAGTATATTCTTGCACATACAAAACACCTTTAGGTCAGGAACATTTTGTTCTGATATGTGCTCTACCACTTGATATTCTCTATATACTATGCAGCATGTATTGACAACATCAGAATACAAACATACTTATCAGTCGTGCTTAAGGCAGGGTTGCACTTGTTTTACAGTAATTTTGTATTCTAAGGCTATATCCATTACTACATCACTTCAAGTCTTATGTTGTCTATAACTGTTTACCATTTCACTGTTACAAAACTGCTATTTGCAATCCACTGTGTAGCATGTACTAGCTATAGTCTTGACTGGCTTCAGTCTAACAATATTAATGTCCTGCTGCTTTTGTTACAATCTACCTCTCAAAGTTTAGCTTTCCACAGCTGATTCTGTAGTACAAAATGTGATGTTTTTCTTACACAACACAAAATTGCAAACAATGGTCAATCAAAAAACATTGTCGTCTTGTCATATGTAGCACCTTGTACAAGAACTCACTAAATCAAGTGTACAAATGCCATAGTTACACAAACAATTACAAGTATTTGTCCTCTAACATCAATGTTTAAGCAGTCATGATTCACTTTGCTGATACTTGATCTAAAACCATGTCTTAAATTACACATCATAACAATAGCTATGACTGATCCCTTTCATATGGCTTAAAAGTACATTTTTATATAAGAAATGCCTTATAAAAAGTCCATCACCTTTCTGAGTCTGGAAATAGGTGCTGTATATGCGTAGGCAAGACTTTTTAACTTTGAACACCAATACTTAAAACAGCTGTATGCTTTATTCATATTCTTTAAATAGTAGAAATTTGTGCGACTTAATGTGTTGCCAATAATTCATATGGAGCAGCAGCAACATAAACAGGACTATGTTTATCTACAATGAAAAGGAAATCTTCTTTGGGAAGTCCATCAGAGGACCTTCCTCATTTGAACATCACTATTAAAAGAAGTCATGAGAAAAATGTATACTTTATCATCTAAATCACCTACTGCTACTGCAGAATTCAGAACAAGTAAAGCAGCATCAAGAACAACATTATTTACAGACAAAACAAGCAGATACTGACATGACAATACAAGCAGATACTGACATATCAAATCACTTTCCATCCACAAGGCTGTCATCCAAAACTATACCCGGTAGTAGAAAACAACACATGCTAATTTCACATAATGTTGTCAATTTGTCATGGGAAAAGTACTGTTCGTCCAACATTACGACTGTGGTAATTTTGAATCCTACTGGTATGTGAATTAGATTATCTTCTCAACCTGTTGCTGTGTTCTACATGTACAATACTAATCATCACTAGTATGAAATGCTGTAAAGCAGTAATAGAATTACATCTAGTCTCTTATTTCTGCCTTGGTTATGAGACTATGGTATCAATATCCTTGCTATCATATTCCTTTGCTTATCCCCTGAAACTTGTTTAAATTTATATTATGGATACTTTGCCCTGAATGGCTTGCAAGCAACAAAAGGCTGACCATATATTGCATGCCCATATTTTAGACCACCAGTTTTATTAAAATTTAGGCAATATGGTCTTCAAAAGGTTGTCATCATTCTCAAATCCAAAGTACATAGCAAATTTCCAAACTAATCTGAAAGATTCCGTAAAGTGGTGATGGACTGTTTTTGCCATGTACATTGAATCTAACGAAAATTTAACATTGTGGAAGTGGAAAATGATTATGAGTAAAATAATTTTTTTTTCAAAATTTTTAAAAAGAGACATACATTTGTGCACACATTCTTGGAAAACGGAGATATGTCCTTGCTGAATATTTCCAAGAGGGAAACAACATTCAAATTTCAGTTTAAAGCCACCTCTCTTGGGCGCAAAATACTGAAAACAAGGAACAGGCTCTGGGTCCTTCACTTGACCTGTGCCCTTTGCAGAGGAGGCGAGGCAGATTGCACCTGGATCCTGATAGCAGCTGCATCCTTCTTCAGGTGTGCAGGTGAAATGACAGGCGTGGAGTGGAATTTGGGCAAGTTCTGAGCAGGGGAGGAGTCGCTGGTGTTCCAGCTGTCAGCGGTTGTATCTGCTGAAGGGTCTGCAGATGTCAGGAGGCCACTGAAAGGAGAAGAAGTAAATTAGCAAATGCATGAGACAAAATGCTATAATAGAGAGATATCAACTATCAGATGGAAAGACTGAAAAACTACATTGTACAGTGGCAGTCTTTTGCAGCTGATTGAGGTATGTCCACAGAGACCTCAATGTCTACGAATACAAAACTACAGGCATGGTGCTCTGCTGGAACAGTCATACATTAGACTGAAGGGGGTCTGAGAGGACGTGTTATCGGTAGAGCAAAACAGCACCGAAACAAATACATGTAGTGCACCACACACGACAACCAAGTCTGGAAAAACGGCAACTGCATGCAAAAAACACGACCTGAAAGACAACAGGAGTTAGTGAAAGAACCAAAGCACACAAATCCACCATGCCGTGCCATCCGAGTTAGCACACCCAAGGCCCCATAGCCCCTAACAAGGACCAGCCACCACAACAACGTCTCATCATGCCTGTTACAGAGACAGAGGGAGGAGTGTGAGGACCTTGTTCTGTCGGTGAGATCTGAACTGCCCCCCTCTTCCACCTGACTCCAGCGGAGGGCTCCGGCGCATTTGTCGCTGGGGATTTCAAGAAGTTGTTGAACATTCCACGGAAGGTGGAGCCAAACTTTTCGATTGGGCTCAGAGGAGAAGGTAGTTCTGATCTGAAAACGATGATCCATATGTGAGGTTGGAAAGAGTGCTGAATATCAGCCCCATGAGAACCGTGTTGGGGAAGGGGGGGTGAAGGGAGGGTGACCACTGCTATCCAGTTACAGAATGTGGAATGAAGGAAGATGGCCCACATCGAGGTTAGGAGTACAAGATGTAAAATGATGCATATCTGGAGCCAACTTTTCTTCTTTGTGAGACATAAGTTTCCCATTGTTCATCATTTAATTTGTTTTCCTGCTTTCCTTCTCCTTCTCATTCTACATGTTCTTGAAAGAGACTAGACTACAAATCGAGACTAGACTACAAATCGAGATTAGACTACAAATACATTTACTGACTGAAAAAAACAACGTGTTTCAAGTACATCAGTATATGGACAAGTACTGCAATAGCAAGAAACAACATAGATGGAGCACAGCACCCATGTCACCCACCTTCTAGACACCATTCTGTTCTCGCTTGACTGCAGACTGCTGAGTGTGACACTGCTGGTGTTGTTGGCTGTCTGGTCATGGATCTGGCCCTGGTCAGCCTCAATGGCTGATGGGAAATCTGCCTCTGCAAGGCTGCCCTCACTACCCTGGGCAGGAGAATGGCTCTGTCCACCCAACCTGAGACAGAGAACATAAAAAAGCCATGTTTTAATTGCAATCTTGGCTAATGCAAGAGATGAATTTGTTATGTGCGTATGAAAGACAGATGACTGCATGCTGTATAAAAAAATATTCGGAACTTCTTCTCTTTTGAGAAATCAAATGGTGTGCCCCTAGCCTGGGTTCCATCCTATTCGTATGCCGGGGCTCCCATACTCCCCCCCTTAGAAATATTCTTAGGGCGGAGTATGGGAGCCCCGGCATACAAATAGGATGGTACCCAGGCTAGTGTGCCCCTGGGGTAGTGCCAAAAACTGAACCATCAGGTAAGAAGAAACATCGGAATCTAGACTGACCCTAGTCGCCTTTCCAGTTCCTCCTGCCTTGCCTTACTCCTGGCCAACTCAGCCTTCAGGGCTTCTACTTCATGGTTCTTCTCCAGCACTTCCCTTCTCAGGTTGTACACACACTCCTCTAGAGACTCACACAGGGCCTGTACAAGTGATACATAAGCCTTGAAGGGGAAGGATACACACATAAAGGATTAGGTCTACTTCAGTAAATACAAAATAGGAGGGGCCCACAGCAAGGTTAGAAACTCCATCAGTTGGGGTATATCTTACGGTTAAGTCGTCCTATGGCCTTTTTGAGGCTGTAGGGGCAATGGGATTTTTGGGGAATGTTTAATTATCTCAAATAAGACATGCATGTGAAATAAGAACATGGGTGGCAGGTTATCCTAAGTGCTGACTGGCAACATTCAAACTACAGCTAAAAAAACACACAAGATGATCTACAACACACTAGAGTGCATATGAGGTTACTGTATGTACTACTGGAAGTCAAGCAAGTGTCAAACATGATGTTGTACACACATGTGCACAGGTAATACCTGGAGGGGGGCAACTTGTATTTCCACAGAATGGGAGAAGTTACCGCTGGTGGTGAAATTCCGACCCTATTTCAGGAAGTGATACAGTTTTAGGTTAACTTAACCATTCTATAGGGTGTTTGCATTCACGTGACTATGAATTTTTACTAGACATGATTTGATTTTAGGTGCCCAGGTGGCTTGTTGTGGTACTGCAGCAGAAATTTGTGATTTAGAAATCTCGTGATCTGGACATGGCAGGGGAATGAATTTGGAATGGTAAATACCTCTTGTGCTTGGAAGAATCAATGCGGAATCAGCCTTCAAGCAATAGTTTGCAATAAAGTTTGATATTTCATCATTACTAACATCGTCTGCCATGCCAGATTACTAAACCTGGAAGTTGTCAGCTACATAATGTAATAACAGTCATGACATTAGGCACAGACAAGTTTATAGGTCTGATGACTCTTCCAGGTTCAATCAAGCATGGCAGTTATGTCACATGCAAACACCCTGCTTTTGTCCAAGCACTCCTTATTTTGGTCCGAGTCCTGTTGGATTTATACAAAACAAATAGATTTAGTCAATGTTATTGTACTTTGGGGAGCATTGCGGAATAAGCTTCTCTGAAAATGATCGATATTGGTACTTTGATCCTTTGTAAGAATCGGTTGATTGAAATCAATGATAGAAAATTGAGGGAATGTCAATGGTTATGACATCAGTAGTTTTTCACACACAGTGTGCAGTATTTCTCATTTAGCGTGTCCGTGTCATTAATTGAATAATTGGTTAGTTACTTGGGTATGCTCTAGGGCTCAATAATGCTCTAGGGCTCGTGATCACAGCCATCAGCATTGCGTGGTCATTTCTGCAAAAGCAATGTTACTCACAGTGCTGCATTGCAGTAAGCTTTAGTTCTTCATGATTGCATTTGTGGTGCAGGAATCAGGAGTTACTGCATGTGCAAGAGCGCCACACGTTGATTAGGGTCGGAATTACACCACACAGCATCAATCCTGGTTGGTGTACAGAACTGCAAAGCCCTGGATCACAGAACATACCCTACTCTCCTCCAGTCTGTCCAGCGGGTCAGGGGGGTCGTCCAGACAGAAGAACTCTCGCACAGGGTCACTGGAAAAACAGAGTGGACAGTCAGATTCACCTGGGGCAAATAGTCCAACAGATACATAAACATGTGTTTCAAACATATACATTGTACAGTTTTTGTACATGTATAATCTTTAATTTTCAGACGGATCTTTGATAATAAAGGAACACTATATTAAGTTATTTTTGTCATCATAATAATCCAAGATTTCAAACAAATCTAAAATTTTTACATTCTGTTTGTAAATGTTGAAGCAGGATTAAATAATAATATAATAACCTTCAAAAGTATTAAGAGTTTTGAACTTCTGATATTCAGTTCAGATCTATTGAGTTGGTTGTAATGAAATGGTTGTTATACATGTACATGATTGTCAGTCACATTAGTCATGAAGATATGAACTTACCTGTCAACAATATCAACATGCCCGATGACATTATTGACAAAGGCCTGCAATCCCAGAATTCTGTCCTCTAGGAAATTGGGGTCAAAGTTGTCCTTGAACCAACGTTTGGGTGGAAGTGCCAGGCGGAAGGTCGGGAACAGGTTTCTCAGCTACAGTCAACAAAAACAAGTGTTATTAATGTGTTTATAGCCATCTTATGTAACGTTTCTTCCATCCTCGAAAATGTTGAGTAATGGAAGCATAGGGCCTAGGAAAAAAAATGTTGTGCTTCATGATCTGACATCTGAGTGATGAAACATTGAACAATTCGTTTTCCAACATTGATATTGAAAGTATGAGTGTCCTAACCCCTTATGCAAATTTTACTTAATAGAGATTGCCAAAGTCTGAATAAAAAAAAAAGAGGGGAAAAAAGCTAATCCCTACCTACTGACCCTATTTTTTTCTGGACTGAAACAGGAAACACAACATTTTTTTCCTAGGCCTAGTTAAAATGTAAAACTGTATCTGGTTTCTGTTGCTATTTCCTGTTTTGTCTGTAGTGTAACACATCTAAAGTTCATTGCAGTGGGAGGCTTAAAGAAGTGTAGTCCCGAATCACCAAGCAGATGTGGGATAAAGGATCACACTATTCATTCCCTTCACCAGTGGTAACCACCTCACCTGTAAATATCTCATCATTTCTGAGTAAAGCCAGGACTGAAATTAGATTGAGACATAACAGCAAACATGAAAACACAGGTTATAACAAGCACTTTGGAAAGCTTGCAGGACAAGACAAACAAAGACCGCCACCTATCAATGGACTTGAAATGGATAGCCTAAGTACAATCCTTGCTATCTCCTAAAAATGCAATCTTCTTCAACACATTAGCATGCACTGCACAGCTAAACAGGTGTGCATTTTTGAGCAATGATTTAACCAAGGATAGTACTTAGGCTGGGAAATTTCAAAATAAAAGTCAATGGCAAGTGAGAATTAGTAGAGACAATGCCTTAATCCTTGCAAGTCAGTTAGTCTGTCAGTCACAACTATGGAACACATGCTGTATTCCACTAGCCTGGTATCCATCTATGTTGGGCTCTGTCAGCCTAACTAGTTCTTACATAGAGTTGATGGCTCGATACAGATGGATACCAGGATAGTGTTCGACTGCGGAATGCAAAGAAACTGAAGCAAATCATATGATTAGTACAAAGTCCATTTGAGCTCTGAGCTTGTAGCACTGGAATAGCTCAGTTAGCACAACTGTGCAGCATGTTTGAACAGTGTCTGCCAGCATCTGTTTTCTGGTTTTGCACCACAGCGTCAGCTCATTAATTGGTCAACACAACACTGACTCAACAGTTAACGTTACATGCACAAAGCTGGCCACCATGCTGGGAATAGCCTAATGTGCAGGCCTCCGAGTGGATGCATATTTCAATACTGCATTTTGTAGAATTGTTTACGGTATTCCCGCCTTGGGAGGATGGCTGGCAAAAGAACGCCGTAAACAATTTTACAAAACGCAGTATCAAAATGCTCAGAGGTCTGTCTGCACAGGAGGCTAGCTGGGAAGGGAAGAACATGGGTTAAGAATCTAAAGCAGTGAGCCGCAACCAAGGGATGAAGGATGAGCCATTTTTTTTTCTACACAATGAGTACTTGTCAAACCTAAGAACTGCTAAAGAAAAAATGAAAACAAGAAAACGGTTCAAAATGTAATTGTATGCAATAAACTACAGATTAGAAATTGTGGTACATGCATGAGTTACATCACTTATGTTCGGAGGTCATGCAAGGCATGCTGGGTAGGCACCTTTCCCATGACTCCGTCGTTGTTTTCCTCGTCGTCACACAGACCAAACCTGTAGCCTGGAAAACGTGCCTTCAGCTGTGGGGAGGGGGGCAGTGCATGGACAGTGCAGTTACATTCATGTACATACATGTAGACATGCAAAAATAAACCAAGTCATACACCAAGATGCAATAATACTTCATTAACAAGTGTCAACATGCAAACATAAAGTGATAGATTAATGTAATAAAGACATCTTACACCTAAAGTGAGAGCTAAACTTTTTCACAAACTGCTGCCATATCCAAACATGTTTTTCCTTGACAATCAAGCTCAAAATTAAGTTTAGTATTGGTATGTGTAGCATTGAAGCAGCTTTCCCCCAAATTTTGCCTTTTTCATTTACAAACCCAGAATGTATTGCATTAGAAACAGGCCCTGTAAAATGTTATGCATGTACCTTATATTTATAACCTTATTTGTTACCTTAAACTTTTGACCAATGACTGAAAGAAAAACATTTTACAACTTGAAATCTACATATGAGCAAATGAAAAGGAGGTCATTTTAATAGTGATACTAGTTTGGAATCTTAATTGTAATGGAAAACCTTCACAATACATATGTATAACAACACTCTTGGACCCACCTTTTCATTCAACCTCTGAAAGTCGGAGTATCTCCTAAAGACAAACCAGCCCTCGTCAGCCTCAACTTGTACATGGATCTTGAAAAGCTGTTGACAGAAAGCACAACATTTAGACATGTAGCTGACCTAGATACAGTAGACATGACTGCCACAGATAACAGAGTGAATAGGTCTGTGAACAAGACTGTCATGATAAGAATCCCTTATCTTGTTCCTACAGGACACACATAAAATAGCTGGTGGGAAATACATGTGCACTGTGGCATGCAAGCAACTTGACATTATGACATTTAGGTAACTGTTTTTGTTTCAAATTACAAAATCATGACCAACGGACAACTTTCAACCTATTCCCAAGGGACATAAAAATTTTTCAATTAAAGATTTAAAGTTTTAGATGGAAAATTATATTGTGGGGTAACATTTTTCTGCCTAGAATTTGGTACTGCATATTTTCCACGCACCTGTTCCTGTTTTTTCTATAATCTATGCATGACAAATATGCTAGTTGTGAAGAAAAATATGTTTGAAAGGGTTTTAACAGCTGCATCTACACTTGTGATTCAGAACACTACAGTATGGTGTTGTATGAACTACCAGGGGTATCATGCATGGGAATGGCATCTGTTCATGACACGCTAGTTAGAGCTGAAGGAAGTAAATACCCCCCTCCCCAACCTGTAGCCAATACGGAATTGGTTTCAATAGCTTAGAAGCAGCTTCATGAAAATTTGTAGCAAACAAGTATTATTGATTCTGCTGGTGCTAGGGTCAAAGGGTGTCTTTAAAAAGGCCAGTGTGACTCTCACGAGATTACTCAAGATCAAACCATTAAGCCTTGAGGAGAAGGGGGTAGTGTAAAAAACATGTAAACTTTCATTCATATCTGTTGGTCCTTCATCCTTCATGGCTTCAATACACGATCAATCATATTCCCTTCCTTTTTAAGATCTCATGATTTCTACTTGTTTCCCAACTACAAGTGTGAGTTTTAAAAAAAAAATATCCATACAAAGTCTACAGTTGATTACTAGTATTATCACTAAACTATCAACCTGACACTTATCATGATTAATGAGCAAATCAAAACAGTATAAATTTTCTTCAATAGTAAACATTAAAGGATCGCTAGATTTTGCAATGTACAAAAGCCTGCCAATTGTAGAGAATATGTCTACTGGAAGCAGTTTTCTATTGGTTTGTGGCTCGTGCACTTATCTTCATTAATCAACTGCTGGTGACTTATCACTTCAAACTGGTTTTATGGCATTCTCATTCGCCGTAAAATAGCTTCTGGGCTTTGCAAAGTCTGGCCATCCTTAGAAAGTATGCAGACAATGTGCGGAACCAAAATGACATATATACTGTACACATTATCCAGCAATGAGTACTTTTCAACAAGAATCACTATCATTAGCAACAGAAACATACCTATATCATATAAACCACACAGAGGCTGACAACCTGGCTAATCACAATGGACAAATTAATGGGGTCATAGTGCAGAGAGCTATACCTGTACTCTGAGTAATTTATTTTTCCTTCTTAATTTTTATTAGTGTTTCAGAGGGAATTTTCGAAGCCATACATTCGTATTGATATTAACCACATTGCAAAGTTTAACATGACTGATAATGTTGTTAAGTCCCATGGGAGGTCTGCAACAATTGTAATTATGTACTCTGCCGACCGTATAGATCTACTGTTCAATTTGTTGTAAAATTGGACCTCTTGCAGGCACCAGTGGTTGTGTATTTCTCCACCTAACACAGTGAGTAACATGAGGAAATTGTATTTCCAAGTGTATCAACACACACATGTAACTAACAACTATCTGCAATCCTTTGGTTTGTAACATCAAATGTAATTTGCCTAACTTTTCCTTTAGGAAAAAATAACCTGATACAAGGAGACAAATTCTCTTACTCTTAGATAACAAATCCTCATCTTTTTATCCCATGGCACAAATCTATACTAACATAGGTAACAAAGTAACATGCCTTGTTTCAATCTGGGTTTTAAATAATGCATGAAACAAGCAAGGAGCTAGCCTACTGGGATTGCTCTCACATACAGTCATGTAATAATCAATATTCTGTAACCTTACGTCATATCTGAGGCTAAAATATGCATATTTTAACACATTAAAGACCAGACATTACAGTTCTTAAAAATGTCAGACTTTGGACTGAAGTGAGATATGATATTTGTTTAAATATAAGAAAAGTTGCCATGGCAAATAACAATACAAAGATGTTAGTGATCTTTTACTGTTATCCTTTAGTTCACTGATTACCCTATCCCTTCTGTCTTATGTGATGTATCAATGACAAATAATGGTACAATATTAATTATGACTTTGATAAGCCTGATAAATGTGCAAACCAAATTTAAGACATATTCAGTCCATAGGACACTAGACCAAAGCACTTTACACCCTTCATAATGGATAGCAATTACGCACACAGTGGTGCTAAAAAACATTGTCCCAGTTGACATGAACTTTCCATGGGTCAGACACACCTGTTTCTCTATGGAGCATGTTAACATAACCCCTGCCTTTTCTTTTATCACAATCAATGGACTGTCAAAAACAGCTGCCACGTATCGGCTAGAGAAAAGACCAACAGTCTACAGAACAAAGCAGAAAACTTGCCCCACCTAAAAACGAATTTCAGACAATGATTTTTCCTCACAATATCTTGTGGTGTCTATAATTTCTTACTACCAAACAACTGAAGGTGAATTTACAAACAGGATAGTTCAAATAAACTGCCATTGATTAAATCTTATGATCCATCAGATGATTTTCATTGTCCTTGTCAGGTGATTTCAAAATGAGATCACAGACCTTTATACAGTGTCTCATGTACATAATTATGCAACCAGGTGTCAAACTAGGCTACACAAACTAAAATTACACAATATGAAAAACAGCATGCAAATATCCAGACACTAATGAATGCTGTGGATGAATTGACTTGAAGTTTTTCCAGAATATGAAAATGTCTGGGGGGCAATTCTAGAGTTCAGTTTTAAGTGTGTAGTGTGTCTAAAAAATCAATGAGGCAGAACAAAGCAAAAATTCCAACATGCTTTTGCTAACATTCAGCCTAACTTACTGAACCCAAGAGTGTATAGAATAACATTTTCTAAGCTTAACATATTTAACCTTTGTCACACATAAATTCCTTCGAGGCCCTGACAAATAAACAGGCCTGAAAGCTTTGTCCAAAAATGTACATTTCCCATTACTGTTTACCCTATCCGTGACATGTCCTAAGTCCTCTGTGATTCTGGCAAAGATGGTGGAACAATCACATCTTACAGTACATTTATTGTTATGTCTACAACATGATATAATAGTCCTGGCAGAATACCTGCACTGTTTGTTCACGTCAAAGAAACTTAGCCTTTAATACCTGGGGAGTCTGGCCAAGACAAACTGTACGTATGTACAATAAAAGCCAAATGGACAACTAATGTACACATATAATATTCCTTTCTGCTTTCAATTCCTTAATCTAGGTGAATGCTGGGGTTACTAGGCAGTAAGGCTTTTTACCCTGGATATAATCTGGATCTGCCTCTCAGCCTCTGACAGTTGTTTTTCAAATGGGGCATCTTATATATAACTGACAGGATGGGTCCAAAGCCAGAAAATCTCATCTAAATTCTAATGGATAGGTTTATGCAGCAAACATTTAAAACAAACTGCTGGTTGTGAAAATTTGCTTTTGTCAGACAAATTTCCACAGGATTGTATAGCAAATTATTAACCTTGTGTGGCTGTGGCCTTATCTGTACTGTGTCCTTTTCCCTGCTAACTTCTGCTTTAGCTATTACACACTGTGGTGCACACAGTGCTGTTACATACACAATGTGCACCACAGTGTGTAATAGCTAAAACAGAAGTTAGCAATGAAAAGGCACTATAATTAATTTTGCTAATTTAAAAACAGTGTGGTCCTGGACTGTATTTGAAATCTCTGTGTAAAATTATACTGATGTTGCCCCGGCAAAGATGAAGATGAAGACATATTGGATGTATTATTGATCGATAATCCACCAAACAGTTAAACTCACTGGAAACAAAAGATGTTGGGTGTTAGTTGATAAAGATGCTGGGATCGTGAAGCATTACTGTACATTTTTTTTATTTCTGATGAATTCATAACTTACCGTATATCTTGCTCGCTGCTCCATAATTTCATAGCCTACAATGGGAACTCTCAGTCCTTCAAACTCCTCGGATAAAGGTGAGGTCTGTATCTGATGGGTGTGGTACGAGAACTCGTGTTGCGAGCTTGTTTCCGAGCAGTCCAGCATGCTGCTGGCCGCGGTCGGAGGAAGGCCCTCCACATCCGAGGGGGATGGAGTTCTGTCTGTGCCTTCAGACTCCACAATAGAAACTGCATCAACGGCAACCTCTGGTTCCACCTCACTGTCTCCATTGTTTGGGTCGTCTGTCTCTACTTCAGAGGAGTCTGCAGTAGGGGGGTATGGGGAGGTGGGGAGGGGGGATGACCTGGAGGGGGAATCACTTGTCCGCCTGCCCTCCACAGTTCTGTGCGGATTGTCCTGTCTTCTCATCCCAGCAGGTTGCATGTTGAACAGAAGTCTCTTTGATAACTCCAAGCGCAAAATTCAAACCATATGGTGGGGTTCTTGTGTGTGCCCCTTGTGGGATTCCCTTGTCCAGTACTGTAGCAGTAGGTAGTCGTGTAGTTCACCTAAAAATCTGGCGAAAGAAAAAAGGAAAAGGACGAATTTGAGAAATTATATATTTGTAAATTAGCCTATGTGGATTGGTGACTACAAAAACTCCTGTGCTATTGTAAACATAATCCCCCGAATACAGTATGAAAGGTGATCGAACTTCATTTGGACTTGAGCATACAACGTTTAGGTTACCCGACCTTGCTCTGATGGAATTTTCTGGTAAGGTTGGCAGTGTACAAAGATCGGTTTATATCAGTTTACTGCCATAGGAGTCAAATTTACGTGGAAATCAGCATATGCGCTTGAAAATAAACGACCAGACCGAAGAGTGTTGACAGGAAGAGATAAAAGGACCCCAGTCGCCAAGAAGCCAAAAGAACAACAAACCTTGATCACCGGCGGTTGCGTGAGAAGAAAAACGGGTCTTTTTGCCGCGGGATCCCGCCGGAAATCTCCCTTTTCACCGTCTTTTCTGGACCAAATGTACCACCATGGTCGTCTGGAAGGTCTGAACACGGTCTCCGTTGACTGATTTTGGCAATAAAGGCTAGATTATCAACAGTTTGGAAGGTATATGTGTCAGCCCGCTCACGTGCTTATACATCATTTTCAATGGTCTTCGAACTTGTTATCGAGACGTGACGTAATCCTAACCTTTGAACCTAGAAGCAACCACGTGAAAAGGAGGGGGACTTGTGTAGAAGCGACATCTTGTGATCGTTATTTTTATTGCAGTGATCATTTGTTTGCAGCGTTGCACTTCAGTTTTTACTCAACATAACATTCAATAGCTTAAAGTGTCTACAACATATTAATTTGTGAAGTTCAGTATGTCATAGAGGAGGTGTTTTTGGTGTTGTTGCTGTTTATGTTCTGCTACTACATGTATCCCAAAAGTACACATGACAACAACAAAATATCATGTAACCATGTTTATTAGTAAAAGTTGTAGAATCTATGGATAGTGGAAGACCCAATCCATGATTTTATTAATGGCTTCAGTGAAGTCTGCAACAAAGAAAATGACTACAACACAAAATAAATGGCTTCAAACATATCTAAAATAGATACTATGAACAAACATACAAATGTATTATTCATAAAGATTATAATTTAAGTGCATTTTCAGATAAAAATCTCAAGGAACAGCAAACAAAATATGGTACTGATCAGTGAACAGCTCTATACGTGTATGGCACTCTCTGTGATACAAATATATAACTTTTATATATACTGCATATGTGTACAAACAGATGACAAATAGACTAGCAGAGACACAGCAGCAACTCAGCTTCTAATTCTCTCTTGTTCATGATGAACTATGGCTAAAAGTTCTAGCAGCATCACGTCTAAGTATATGGCTCTTTGTAAAACAAACATTTTGAACACTTCACACTCTACCCACTAATGGGCCAAAGTTTCACTGTACATGTTACTGTGTGGCACTTTTCAGCACAAGCGTTTTATGGTCTGGCAGTTCTTCTCACTGAGAACACTGTCACACTCATTGATGGCTTTTTAGTAAAGAAAACAGCATCTTACACTTGATTTTTAATGGACGGACAAATGTTCAAGGGCACTTTACTACATGGCACTTTTTCATGGGAGAATTTTGTGGACAACAGTCCTTTTGAAGAACAGTGTCATACTCGCACTTTACTTAATTGTGACTTGCTGAAAGTGATGGCAGTGACTGATTCTAAACCCTTCCAATTTGATCGCAGTAGAATTGATATTATCTGACTGATAGCAATGGGTGTCTGTAAGGTGGATGCTCATGCTTCCCCTTCTGCAGGGGCTTCCTCTGCAGGGGCCTCTGCTGCTGGGGTCTCTTCTGCAGGGGCTGCTTCAGCTGGGGCTTCTGCTGCAGCCTCTTCTGCAGGTGCCTCTGCTGGAGCCTCCTCTGCTGCTGGAGCCTCCTCTGCTGCTGGCGCCTCCTCTGCTGGGGCTTCTTCTGCTGGGGCCTCATCTGGAGCTGCTTCTGCTGCAGCTTCCTCTGCAGGAGCTGCTTCTGCTGGTGTCTCCTCTGCTGGAGCTTCCTCTGCTGGAGCCTCCTCTGCGGGAGCTTCTTCTGTAGCAGGTTGTTCTGCTGCAGCTTCAGCAGCGCCCTCTTCCCCCTCCTTCTGTACTGCATCTTCCGTCGTCTCTGCTGGTTTCGCCTCTTCTGCTGCAGCTGGTGCCTCAGGCTGGGACTCTGTAGTGTGAAGGCTTTTTCTCGCCTGCGGGGCAGAGAAATAATGATCAATCAGATCCCACCACTGCCACCAGTGTTACAAACCAATGTTACTCTCATGTGCTTGGAGCTCAACCCTTCATGGAGCCTTGTAACTCATTACTATAGTCACCAGATGTAGTGATGCACTACCGTCCTGCTGTCTGTTCAAATGAAATCAATGGTTAAACATAAGTATGTGAACTTCATAATCCTTTACCTTAAAGCCCCTGAAGCCAGCCTGTATCTTAAGAGCAGCATCGGCTACTTCTGGGTCATCCAAGTCAGGCATCTCCTCCTCCTCTTCCTCAGCTGCTTTGGGTGCAGGTGGCTGTTCACTGGCAGGTGCTTCTGTGGGAGGTTCACTGATACTGGGCTCTGATGGCTCTGCAAAAGGAACGTTCGAACCAATACAGTTCTGTCAGTTTATGAGACTTCTACATGTATCATATATCAGTCATAAACACACTTGAAATAGTATCCCAAAATATACTACTCAATGGTCAATGTCAAGTTGCTTTACTGGCCATGTATGGTCTTGATAGAAGATTACAAAGAAAATTGTACCTTGTCAACATCCAGCTTTTTCAAAGTCTTCTTTTTAAAGATATACTCTCACAGTTGGTGAGGGGGAAGAAATACTCATAGTTTGGAAGCTGTACAAGACTTACTTGCATAAGCTAGACTTTTCAGCAGATAAACACTAAGTACATGGTAGTGGTTGAATTTACCTATGTCTACTGTTACGGCTCGGGGCTCTCCTCTGTCTCTAAGGTCCCGCTCTCTTAGTTCTTCTATCGAGTGATAGTCACCGGTTTCTCTGGCCTGAAAAAAAAAGTCGCAACAAATGTTACGATGAAAAATGAAGCCTTGATTGTTTTTGACCTTGGGGCTGGCAACGCTTAAATGACATTGTCTTGATGAAACGCACAGAGCGGAGGAAAAACTCACGCGGATTTACATGGAGAATTGAAGGATTAGTATAATGTAACAGTGCATACCTTCAGGAGCCCTTCGAAATATTTGGCGGCAAACTCCGGGATGTTGTCCGGCTGCTCGCGGAGGACCTCCCGGCTTAAGTCCTCGAGGAGAGACTTGAAGCCGGGCGGCACCGCTAACCGCACGGGGCCGTAGCTCACGGACATTTTCTGTTACGGTTCTGGTCGTGATCGCTAAGCACCGGGTTACGTTTGCTTATTTGCCCCCGTTTTGAGAAATATTTGTACAGTAGGACACTATGCACCTGTTGCTAGCCCAAACAGGTGGTTGTTTGTTCACGCAGGTGTCACTTCCGCGTTCCCGTGAGGCCCCAGGCGAAAAATGGATGCTACCACTAGGATAGGGGTGTTATCTTTTTTATGGACATTTGCAATGTCACAAACAAGGCTGTGCGATATAATTTGTCGTCAGTAATGACTTTAAAGAATTTCAATATAATCGTCATAGTCTTTGGAAGGTCTGGTTTGCTGTGTCAGTTCAGTGTCATAATTTTCAAAATGTACAATGGAGTAATTATGACCTTTTTATAACACCTGATGGTACGGAAGAGCACTTAGCAACGTGACGTCATCCAAACAAATTCAAGATGGCGGCGAGCCAGCATTGGTTTCAAGAAGTTGAAAGTTTTTGACGATTTCAGTGCTTGTTTTAAGGATTCCGGAAATTTTTGAAGATCACAACAGCCATGGCAACAGGTAAGGCAACAATCCGTACCACGCGACGTTGAAACTTTGTTCCGATTTTCTAATACGGCCCCAGAAACGCCTTTTGAATGGAACATAATAGAAGAGTCAGGCCATGTTTTGACACATCTCAGCGGGAGGGGCAAATCTGATCTGAGTGAAAACATTGGCCGTTGAACAACGTGTTTACGTCTAACTTTTAAGACAGTACACAGGCGCACGTGCCGTTGAACTATAAATACTACAATATGAATATAGAACAGTTTCCCAGTTGATTTTTGTTCAGGAAGCTGAGTCAATTCAGTTTGCACAGAGCAGAGCTGACATGTACACTAGACGGACACACCACTCGAGTTTTGTAGAACCCACTTACTTGTATTTTCACCTGCTACTGAGTGCAGGGACTGGACAAACAGTGAAAGGAACTGAAGGGCCCTTGACGTCTGAACAAAAGTGATAACTTTCCACCCTCACTTGTGGTTGTTACAATGTTTTTGTTGTAACTGTTTGGTATACTGTGCCCTGATCACCCAATCAGACTGCCGTTGAAAACTTTTAAATGGCCAAAAAGAGTGGTGCCACTGGTGCGGGTGGTCCCCTGAAGTTGGTACGGTGCATTTCCCCAAAAAGAATTGTTTGAGCAATGGCATGATGAAACCAAATGGTAAATGGTAACAAAGCAATCGTCAACCCCCAGTGCAGGTAGCGTAATCTTCAACATGATGAAGCCTTAAATGAAAGAAGAAGAACAAGATCTCACATTTGTTCTCACTCAAATTTAGACCCTAATCCGATGAGTATCAGTGACCCAGAACATGTAAACATACAGGGAAAGAAAAATGATAACGTGGAAGGGAACTTAAGTAACTGATTTTGTGTGTGTGCAAAGGACAAGACTATATAAGACAATTGAATATAGTGTGGTCCCGGGGTACATTATGTAACATAGATATGTTAGGGTGGCTCAATGCAGCAGGGTCCTCATCAGTTCAATTTTGAACTGGGCCGGGTGAGAGACCCCGCCTCCGCCGCACCAGGCTCAAGTTCATTCCACTCCCTGATGCTACGTTGGAAGAACGAGAGCCTGTAGAAGTTGTTTTTTCTCGTGATGGCCTGCATTGTTTGAATGTGATCAGCTGAGTGTAATTCATGCATTGGGAGCATCGATATACTGGGGCATGTTTGTTCTAGTCTCCACCAGACTCCTTTTGTAGGCTGGATAAATAGTAGAAATGGGCCTAAAAAGGGGCCAGAGAAGGTGCCCGGCTAGAAAAGCTCCAGTTTACCTGCATGGACTGGAGTGTTCCCACTGGGATCTTTATTTGTTGTTTTGCAGAATTCTTCTTCTCTTCCAAAAGTAATGTTCCTGAAGTGGGTACAAAAATATTTTTCTCACGTTAAAACACTTGCTGTGCATCTATCAGATTTGATGAGCCCTTGACCTCTTCAGTCACCCTTGTAAGTCAAGGCATGACTTTAATATAATCTGTAGTTTGCCTAAATCACACTGCTAGTACTAGCCAGACTGATTGCCCCCCTAGGGTGGTCCAATTAGCCCCTTGCAGTGAGAGATTGTATGGCACAGGCTAATACGTCCAATCTGGACCAGAAGCACTTTGAAGATGTTGAACATGAGCTGGGGTGGTGTCTGGGCAGTCATGTTGATCAGTGAAATGCAGAAAATTATACCACCTTTGTGAATGGCTGCAGATGGCATTGAAGTTGTATGATCTGATTTCTAAGACCAGTATTAGCCGTAAGAATGAAACTTAAGTCCAATACAGTGACAACAAGTCAGTACAAAAGGACAACTATTTCTCTGAGAAAATACTTTGTTGTCTTTGTACATTCCTGTTTAATTGAGGTGACACCCTTTTTGATCACCTGTAATTGTTTCCTTTCATTTTGTTGCCACAATGGGTAGATGCCATGTTTAATGATGGATTTAAGCAAGAGGTTTAACTTTATCCAAATCAATACAACTATTGCACCATAACTACCTTTTTTTGCTCTTTATAATGCTTTTTTTTAACTTTCTAACATCCCGCAATGGCTACCAAGAAGTTGTCATTTTGAAAAGATGAATACCAACAGCTTGTCACAATTACTGGCCCACCATTCTCATATTTCCATATCACGTAACACATTAAGTGTTTTTCAGCCATCTTCTTTTCATCATCCTTTGTTTGCAGACTCCCATGTGCAGATAATTTTCCGTGGTAATCAGTTGTCTTGGTGATTTTCTGCTCCATTTGATACGCATACAAAAGAGTAATCAATCACCAATCATGACTAATGATGTTTGTCCAGTTCTACTGTAAACTACTATGTACTGTACTGTACTCAGAATCGGCTGTGGTAGGGGGTTGTTGCTGATAATGGATAATGGTAAGAACTACTGATAAGATATGTAGTTATTGATCATAACAGAGCATGCAATTTGTAAGAAGCATCACGAAAAACAGTTCTTTCAGCATCCTGTTATGTTGTCATTAGTAATTTTAACAGATACAATTCCTTTAGACAGATAAAACCATGACTTGCCAGCACATGCCTTTACATGGGCAGATATAACGTTAACTGTAACATGATTTTTTAAAAACTTTTTCACCTGAAATTTACTAAGTTAAACTTTTAAAGGCTTTGCCACTTGTTACTTGTCAAATATTTGTAACTTTTTCTATTTCTTGGTGTTGAACATTCTGTTATATTTCAAGTCCTCAAGAGGCAAGACCATTTGGTAGCTCTGGCATAATCTGACTGTGGCTTGTTCATTGTTCAACAGACTTGTCCAACTGACCAATTACCTATGGCCTGCCTAATAGCTTGGACTTAAGAAAACAAAATTGTCAAGGTGATGGATTGTGAAGTTTTTTTTAAGTTTTCAAAACAGAAGCCTGTGTTGTGTTCGTTGTTTCTTTGGTATTGAGTCAAAGTTTTCCCTTGGGCAGCCAAACAGAATAATTGCATTCTTGAAAACATGTTTAGATTCCAAGGTTGAAAGGGTCCCTTTGTGCCACAAGCATGCATGACTAGACTGAAAGACAAATGCAACTACCAAGCCTTCAAGGAATTTGGTGTGGAGATGAACTGTTACAGTATCTTTCTTGATCCCTTGTATTTTGTATTTAGAGCATACCAAATATTTTACTCTGACAACAGATTTGCTCACAAAAGAACTTCAATCTATCTTCTGAAATGTAATGTGACTGTTAAAAGAGCTACAATATTAATAGTGAATCTCAAGGAAGCAGGAATACCTGAATGGTCTTAAACCTCAGTCATGCAAACTTGGACCTTTGACACTGAGAATTGAAGAAAAGGCCTTGAAGATTTTATGAGGCATGCAGGGCTACAGTAATCTTTTTTGGTTGTGTTTAGATTCAGCCTCCAGTCAAAACATTGCTCTTTGTATGAGTGCCAAAATCATCACAGAAACATAGTTCAAACTCCATTTGGGCTACCAAGTGTATTAGACAAACAGTCGCTCCACCCGCAAAAGACAAATAGTACATGTAGGGTACTATCAGTGGGACACTGCGGACGCCAGGGTTACAGCAAATTTGTTCAACTGTGGGAGACCAGTGTGGGCAGGGATTAGCAACATGGCAAGGTTACCCGTGTTTGAGGATATCAGAGCATCATACTACGGTAATCTGGAAAATTAAGAATCTTATCAGCATAATTAAGTTATGATTTAAAACAAGGCTGATAGATTACTAGCGAGTAATTGCCTTTAGATTGTCAGTAAGTGTTCTGTTGTCGTAGACGTGTTGGCAACAACAACTTAGCTTGAGCAAAGTAAACAATTAGCAGTACAGGTGTTCCATTATAGTTTGAGTGAGACTGTTTAAGACATGGCAGAAAAGAATGATTTTTTGTTTTGGTCTTATCATGAAATGCCTTTAGAGTCAAGACAGTACAGCACTTGAAACTTTTCAATAAATGACAGGTGGCAAAAATACTACCAGTACCATATGCCACCCTCTGATTCATGACTATGATTAAAGATTCTCTTATGGCACCTTATGTATTTGCTGCTCACTTCTTTTGGGCATTAATCACTTGTTGTGAAAGCTGTTTGTATCCCTAATGTACTGGAGAACATTCAGCTATATTGCATGTTACAAGGTTGCCCATGGAAGTCCGGATACACAGTAAGCCCTTAGTTTAAACAAACATTTGAGGGGCAGCTTTCCTGCTTTGTGTGGTCAATTGCTAGAGGTTTTGTTAGTGTAAGAGGAAGTTTTCAAAGATTCGTACATTGAATGTATCGTGTTAAGGTTTGACAGAAACCAACTGGTATTTTCCACTTTTTGTGCATACTGGCAACGTTTGTGCATGTACTACTAAGTGTTAACTGAAAATACTTTTTAATGTACTAATGCTTGTAATCGTATTCCATGTTTCTCCACAGATTTGCACGGAACAGAGCTGATGTACAACAGAATCATCGGCCCCAGAACCAATGCTCTCAGTGTCGACCAACACAAGAGCAGACATGGCATCCGCCTGCGCAGTATGAGTTTTCCCAGAAAGACCAGACGAGGCTTACGCTCTCCATCCTCCCCAGCCCTCTCCATGACAACGCCCATAGCAACGCAGCTCGTTCCCATGGTAACCTCATCCTCCACCTTGTTACAGCGGGAAAAGTCATTCCCTGGCACAGCCCCAAAGAGCGGCAGTATGGTTCCCACAACACCACAAGCCGGCACCCCCGAGCCAGAAGTAATAGAAGAAGAAGTATTCCCCATGCAGTACCCATTATTGCATGACGAGATGAACAGACAACGTGCAATCGCTGCTCAGAGCTTCAGCGCAGGGCTGAAGATCAAACAGGTTCCACTGCCACAGCTGTACAAACAGGAGAAGGACCAGCCACGATCGAGAACGCCGTCTGCGCGGGGTGTACGCACTGTGCCCGTGTACAAGGACAGGGAGGTGAGGAAATTACATGCACAAGTCTTTGCGTAGTTGGTCAGGTACTGCTGAAGGGATAACATATCAGGAATTGTACAATAAGGAATCTTTAATAACACCCTGTCACTCTGGTCTTCCTCACGCAGCATTAACGTCACACTTCAGAGAAGCCATGCAAAGTCCAGAACAAGACCAGAGTGACTGGTCAAGAGCTGTAGTTGAGAACAAGTCTTTGTGTTGGAACAAAAGTTCTAACTTTAAACAAATCTTTCTGTTCTCCTATTAGACGCCCAGTCCAGCCCCTCAGGCCACGACGTCCCGCCTGTACCTGCGAGACACGCGCTCCCCCATCAGGAACATGAGTGAACAGCAGAGGAGACTGCAGGATGAGGAGAAGGCCAGGATGAGGACCAAGGTCATGAAGAGAACAGCAGAGGTACACCTGTTTTTTTAAGGCTTTCATGATTAAATCTACATTTGAGATATCTACAATGTAGTGTCACTGACGAATTGGGTAGTGGATGCCTCAGAAACATCTTACCGTTTCCAAAATCATATCCAGTAACTTGAGGAACTGATTTTTTAACCTATATCTGCATCCTTTTGTCCAGATTGTGTCCCACAGAGTAGACCGGATGTACTACATGATGGGGTCCAATGTGCCGCTGCTGTACCGGTACCAGGTGGACGAGGATGAGTTGAACCGGCTGCGAGAACTGTCCCACGCACGCTCCAGTACCTCGCACTACGGCAGGGGACTCAGGTACAGCAGCTCTGGTTTTCATGTTAGGTTCTCTGCACAAATTAACGTTAGGATTCTTCTTTCTACTGCACCATAATTTACTGTGTAATCTATTTACTTCAAGCTTTGATCTTTGGGATATGATTACTAGACAGTTTATATGATTAGTATTGGTTACTGGTACAATTAGTACAAAACTATACAAGAAACATGATGCCATGAGTAGCCTTGAACATGTGGAAGGTTTAATGAGATTTGATTAAATTTAGCTTGAGTTCCCAGAACCAAAATGGGGGATTGCTTTGAATTTTATAATTAAAAAGGTCTAATTTTCCGGAAGATGTTTGGGAGATATGTACCCTGATCTAGCAGTGAAAGGATGAAAAGTAAGCTTTTATTTTCTGTGTTAGCAAGTACAGGTTCGTAGGAACAGAGGCTTGGACTATAGACCCACTCCTACCTCGCATAGGCTCACGTGAGGAGATAGCTCTATATGCTGCAAAGCTGCAGGCACAGATAGAAAGGCAGGAGTTACAGGCCAAAGAACAGATGTGCAGGCAAGAGAAACAGGCCTTCGAACAGACAGATGCAGAGATAAAGGCTATAGAACAGGCAAACAGGCTAGCAAGACAGGTTCAGGAAGGGAGTTCAAGAATAGACATACTTATACAGACAGGCAGGTTGAGTGCACAGTCAAGTGGAAAGGCAGACAGTGAAGGAATTCAGGAACCTGAACTCTTCAGTGGAAAATATAAACAGCCTCCAGTACAGCCGGGCAGAAAGCATGCTAAAAGTGCTGATTGGCAACAAAGGAAGACATTCTTGCAGGCCAGGTCACATATTCAGGTGCCAGGGCAGGCTGAGAGACAGGCTACAATTTTCCCTCAGTATAGACTCAAGCTTGGAGCCTATCCAGGCATGGATCTTACCATTGTGGGACAGGGGAGGTTTTTCTCATCAGATACAGGAATTTATAGAGAGAGACTGAAGGGGGAATGATACTGTCATAGTATTTTTATTGTAACATATAACGCATACAGAAACCATTGTCTTTCTTTTTGAAAAAAAATCTGCAACTATAACACTCATGGTGATAGTAATGTGATGGCAACTTACCAACTACATTTTGTACATTTTGAATCAGGAAAGATTAAACATGCAGGTGCATACTCCTCCTATCCCAGCTTTTCGTATTGGCTAGCTAGACTAGTGTAATATTACTAAGGCTCTCTGGATAGCTAAGTTTGAGAAGACGTGCATTGTGCAGAGATATTTAGTCAATAAGCACAGGTCATCACGACAACAAACAGTGAGAAAAGTCAGCCAAGGTAAGAAAAACAAAAGCAGGGACAAAGTCCACAGTTTTTTAAGTTTTCATGTCAAATTATGTTAATGTTCTAACACAGTTGATTTTCATTTCCAGATTTCCTAAAAGGACAATCTGTTGGTATACAGCTTTTTTTAGGAAAAGAAAATTAATCCATAATGTCTAATTTGTAAACATTTTCTTGCATTAACTGCAGTGGGATGGGAAAATATAAGTGGGCCCAGGAAATGGCACCACAAGACTACCAAGCTCCCCCCGACAACCCGCCTGGTATGGCCACTATCCCTATCATCAGGCATGAAGCAGAGGGGGGTAGTGAGCAGTTGAACAGCACCAAGAAACACCCCAGCCCTGTTAGCAGTAGAGGTAAGCTGATCCAACCTTGTTTCACAATGGAATGTTCTTAAGCTGGGCTATTACAAGATAAGTAAATAAAGGGCTGTACTAATCAAAAAGTTCAAGAGGGAGCCCTCCAGCTGTAGCATTTTGAAATCAAAAACTTTGGGTTCTAGAACAAAGGAGGTTTATGTTGGGTATTGCACAAACATACGGTATGAGAAATACAATGTCATATAATATTATTTTCATATCAAAGACAAACCTTCTTCTCCCTAGCCTCTCCCACAGCAGAGCATCAGCAGATGCACAGTATCCACATCCAGGTGGAGAGACTGAGTCTGAAGGACGGGTCCATGCAGGACGGTCCTGCCAGTCTCAACGTCGAGATCAACAGTTCCCCGGGGGGCACGGAGAAGAACCAGTCTGCAGGGGGTGGGGAGAGAGGTCAACAGGAGGACCTTGGCAGTGAGTGAATTTTTCCTCCTGTCCTATTTATTTATTGGGATTTTTCTTAGTATTCAAATGATACTCAGTTTGTACTGTAATGATTTTTAGCACACATCAGCATACAGTTGTGTTGAAAATTTCTGTTTTAAATTTCCAATTGAACTTGTTTTTACGTTTTTGCCACATTTCATCTATTTACTGCCAATTCCCATCAACAACTAGAACAGGCATTAGTTTGTTAAATCAAAATCCTTCCAATGCATTTCCATGTATAGGGAGGTGCCCATCTCCACATATAACCCCTTGGCTACACAGTTGTACAGCAAGGGGCCAGTCCACTCACCAGGGACCAGGGTACCAGAACAGCCCTGCCTGAACTCATTTCATACAAACTGTTATTGCGCAGGTGTTGCCGAGTCTGTAGCCCTCCCAGGAGAGGAGGGAGAAGAAGAGGAAACATCAGGTGTGCCTACAGAGGAGGTGTCAGCCTGGCAGAAGGGGGAGGATGGGGCAGAGTCAGTGAGGGACCAGGAAGAGGTGAATGGATGCCACTTAAACATAGATTCTCATTGTCTTGCATTGTTTATTCATTGTCGACATGTTCTAAACATGTATAATAGTATGTATAGCTAATAGATATGCTTATTTCATGTATCCCAGCAAGCTGCTAGGTAAAGAACATCTACATGTGGTGAGTTCTGCAGGCCCTGCAGTTTTGAAAGTGTTTGCAAGGTGGCATTGTCGATAAACTTGACTTTTATTCTCATAAGAAGATCAAACTGTCTTCCTACTGTATTGGCGTTCAGGAACTGTGTCTATATCAGGATGATTGGCAAGAAGAAGACAGTGACAGAGAAGGCAACTCTTTTATTTAGCACCAAGCACTTGACATGTGATGTACCTTAAAATACTATGCAACCTTGTTTAGAGTGCACATACACCTGTTTTTAATGCATCCAACTGGTTTACAATGACTGCACCTTTGCACTCTTTGTCAATATCACATTTCACAATGTTGGGGCATTTCAATTGCATAGGAGAGACTCTGATAGAAAAGGATTGTCATGAATTTATGTGCAAAAAATAGCAGAGCTACCTTTTAACAAAATATATTAATGTCACAGGAAAGTTGACAAAGAATGCCAAATGACTAATGAAAGGTATGTGTGAGCTAAAAAAAACATTTCTACACACTGCAAAATCCTTTCCGACCTAAGAGTTCACATCCAACTTGTCCATGGTGCTGACTTTGGTGTTGTTATTCCTTCAGGCTGTCCTTGGTGCAGGAGAAGCTGAAACCGGTCAGGACCAGTCCCAGCTGGAATCAGGTGGCCCCCAGCTGACTGTCTCACGCCACTCTACACCACAGCCAAGTGGAACGCTGATAAAGATTGTCCGGGGTGACAGTAGTCGGCCACGCAGCAGGGAGGAGTATGTCATTTCTTTGCATTTCGTCACCGTGACCCCCGTTTCACAATGGCATCAAAAACATGTATTTTTGCAAGGCATGCTATTGTTCCAGCCCATTCCATTCTGCAAAAACTGACAAAAGTGCAATATGCTGTAATTCAGTCTAGCAATCTAACGTCTCAAGTAATTGATACAAATTTGTTCCTACAACAGCCTAAGAGTGCTAAAAGTTAATTTGCTTTGAAATCATGCTACCCATCACAACAAAAGCAAGATGACATTCGTAAGAAAATTCAAACTCTACTACTGGATCAGTTAACGGATTTATTTCCGGACGTTTCGAGTGACATCCATCACTCTTCTTCAGCGTCACAAATGAACAGAGAACCGATTCACTCTTATATACAAGTAACTAGAAAAACCGGTTAAACAACAAGGTCCGTAAGAAGCTTTATCATGTAAAAGTTCTAATTCTAGTTCTAATTCCTGTACATTGAGTGAACCGTTCTTTTACATGATAAAGCTTCTTACGGACCTTGTTGTTTAACCGGTTTTTCTAGTTACTTGTATATAAGAGTGAATCGGTTCTCTGTTCATTTGTGACGCTGAAGAAGAGTGATGGATGTCACTCAAAACGTCCGGAAATAAATCCGTTAACTGATCCAGTAGTAGAGTTTGAATTTTCTTACGAGTATCGTTTACCTGGATGTCTAACCTTCATCAACGTAGCAAGATGACATTGTTTGGTTCATTCACCCATCGTGTACTTTCCAAGCTGCTCTTCTCTCCACCAGTTTTCTTTAACAATTTGTCTTCTGATTGAGTTGATTAGTTTCTCCTCTATTTCTTTTTAGTGTATTCAACACCGAATTTGAAAATCCAGATGATGAAGACCAAGCGTCACAGCGGCAATTGAGGGAACAATTTCAGGAGGGAGAGTTTGAAGATGGAGAATGGGTTCCTCAGAGGGGGAATGATGATGATGGTGATGATGATGATGAACAGGGTGGTAACAATGTTGCTGAGGGAGAGTCTTACACAAGGAGTTATGGAGAATTCAATGTGACTGTCAGAACTGTGGAGAAAAATGGAGACTCTCAGCAGCCTGAGTCAGGAGACAGAGGGGAGGGGAGAACCAGGGGGAGAAAACAAGACAACAGAACGATGATTGGTGGACTCAGGAGAAAGGGAAAACCGGAGGGTGGCTATGTGGACTCAGATGCAGCTGTATCTACAGGTGAGAACCTCCACTCTTGCATTATTTCTCCTGTACATCAAAGAATATTTAAGAATACAGATATTGGATGGAAATTCCTGTCATTGTTTAGTATCATTTTTAATGAAATCCATACCTAGAACATACTCAAGAAGGCACCAGTTTTTAGACAAGATTAGAGATCAGAGAAAAGAGAAATTCAAAGCTGACTTTCCTGCTGCAGGTGGTAGAGGTGATGCAGACTTGGCTGCTGCTACAGAAGAGTATTACAGACAGCTGCATGAAGGACGGGATGATGAGGAGGAGTTGGAGGAGGAGGACACAGGAGATGGAGCAGGAACAGATGAGCATGATGCAACAAGGAAGTACCCATTCCTTAAGGTACAATACACTGTACACTCAAGATACTAAACTACAAGTTCATTTTGTGCAATCATTTTAATCTCCTGCTAGGTCTTTTGGTGGCTGCAAAGACAGAGGGCTCACATAAAAGATACCAGTACAAAAGAGAGAGCCCGATAAAAACACCTACAAAACATTCCAAAAGTAAGCCAAAGCCTAATGTACTGCTAAAAATCACTTGCACCAATCATAGCAATTCAATTTTGGATGTAAAATTTTTTTGTCTGCAGAAATTCATGTTCACCTTCATGACATCGAGACAACAGCAGATCTTTGAAAAGAAGTTTGATGAGATTGACTACGAAGGTCAAGGGGTCATCACCATGGAGATGCTGAAGAGCAGGATGTTTGGGAACTTGAAAGAGAGAGACCTGGATCTCCTTATGAAGGTAATGTAGAGCCGCACGCATCTAGCTGGTAGTATTGACTGATGTTGTGCATAGTATGATTTCTGATAAAGATGCTAGTTTTTATTGAAACTGTTTCAAGACAAACTCAGTCACATAAAATAATGTATTTTTTTCTATCTTAGGTGTTTGACCTGAACAGTGACAGAACAATAGACAAGCGGGAGTTTGTGACAGTGGCAGCTCTTAATGACAAGCTGAGGGGAATAACGTAAGCACATCCTCTCATTCTTCTCTCTTACCATTTCATCAAGTCCACAAGATAAGCATCCTTTCCTAAATGTATAGCATCTGTCAGAAATGGATACGACCCCAATTTTCACCGTCCTATCAGTATTTCTGTCTGACAAAACAACATTTATTTGTATGGTATTGTATTCTCTGTTGTTGGTAGTAGGGAAATTAGTTCATCTGTCCTGTACATATCTTTATTTGTTCTTTTGCCTGTCATTGTGTAGTTTGAAGCTTAGGATGCTTTACAGTACCTGTCTGTGGTGTTTGTGATCTTGGCTGGTGATAAGGGCGCTAGTAGTGTCTTCTTTAACCTTCTGTACCTGATGTTTCTCACTAGGGGTGAAATGCACTTACTTGATGTATTTGCTGACAGGGAGGACACAAGGTACCAGGGTGTGAAGTGAAGTGATGTGATATGAAACTAACAGTCTTTAAAAGGCCACACAATACTTAAAAAAAAGAAAATAACAAGATTGCCTTTTTTCCAAAAAGTGTTTTTGAACTCTCAGAAGAAGAACAAGGATTCAACAAGATTGCAGGTTACTGCCTCTGAATTTAAAACCGTAACATACACAATAAAGAAAAGACTCCAAAGGAAAATTGCAAATTAGGCTGAAAGACCCATGGCTATGGAAAATGGTGTGGTCACTGAGAAATTGATCAAAATAGGCTGATTCCTGTGTTGTGCTGTGCTGTGTTCCTCTGTTACAAAATTTCTAGATGTATGGTTACTTGGTACTGTTGCTTGAACAGATCATCAACAACATTAATGAGTTTTCTATGTTGCTCTTGCAGTACACTGAGCCCAAATGACCCACTGGAGCTGAATCTTGACAAACTGGCATTCCACATACAGGCCTACAAGGAGATGTTTCAGGTACAACAAACTGCCACTTTTTAAACTACACAATTGCTTAATAAATGCAGCCATTGTCAGTTTCAACACTCAACCGCTAAAAGAGTTACAACATTGATTTCTTAATTTTTTTCTCTAGCCTGCATAAGAATTTGGGTACATACATGAAGAAATTGATTGCAGAAGTAAATTTCATGTTCTGCTACTCATGCAATAAGTGAAATTAATGAAAATTTATTCAGTAAAAATGATACTCTATAGTCTGAAATCTCTGAATTACATAATATCCCTTACAATCTCTACATCTGCAATAGCCTGGTTACCATCCTCCATGATTAGCCAGCAACAAGGGATCCAGCAGTAAAGTATGGAGGATGCCAACCAGGCATGACAAAGCGTCAGACATAGTAACAGTCTTGTTTCACATTAAAATGAAACCCGTCTGTCTGTCCCGTCTGCAGGTGGTTGACACAGACGGTGACGGGCGCCTGACTATGGAGGAGATCATGCTGCTGTTGTCAGCAGCTGTCGGGACACAGATGGGGACAGACAAGGACCTGGTCAGGGCCATCATCAAGGTCCTGGACAAGGATGGAAATGGTACATCCTCAAAATGACTCCAGACTCATTAGTCTCTATATTTAGCCTGTTGACAGGGCCGATACACAGGGTAGATCCTTAGCTACAGGGCCAGAAGCCTTATTTTTACCATAGACAATGCAGGGTATAAATGGTCTACTGGGCCTGAGTACAGTCTGGCATGTACGCTACTCTGTATTTGAAAAGTAGCACTTTGGAAGATGACTACAAACTTTTAAGGTAAATTGGTAGACTGAGTGTTCTTAGATGCTTCCGACTACAAGCTTGGCACTCTGACAGTCTGTGCTTTCAGTCCTAAGACCTCAATATGGTAGGCTGAGCACAGAAGCAAGGAGGCCTTTCATTCCCAGAACAACTTGACAGTGTTCTAGTGGGTTAAGGGTCACACCCAAGCACCAGATTTCTTTTGATTGAGAGTATTGAATTAAATGTCTTTGTTTGTTTTTCAGGCTCTATTGACTTTGTGGAGTACCTTTCCTTCATCCCGTTCTTCCTCCACATCCATCAGTACATCGTGAAGCGACCAATCAGCATCACCGATGTGGAGAACGCTCGCCAGGCTGTCCAGAAGGCTCTGTCCAGGAGAACTCTGTGATCACAGTGGTCTCTACATGTATAGTGACCACTCATGGGAATGTGTTGACAGTAGACAAGTGGTCACTTACAGACAGGATTCTTTAAGTTAATGCTTGAGTCAATGGGGAAGATAAAGCTGGACCAACAAAAGTGGTCAAAGTGTCTGTATCTGTATCTGTATCTGTATAGCCGGTATAACCGCCTTTCGGCGTAACACACCAGCTTCGCAGGCACGCGGCGCGGCGGCAGCTGGCTATATTACACCGATCGACTTGTTCCACCTAACCCTTGAACTTCTAGCTCTAGACATTGTTTAAAGCTATCTATTGACAGTGTCCCTACTGTACTTGGTGACAGTGAGTTCCACTCTGCGATAGTTCTAGGAAAGAATGAATTCTTGAACACCTCAATCCTTGGTTGATAACTCTGGTACTTGAATGCGTGGCTATTTCTTGTTCTCTTCTGGGCTGGTATTAGGTACTTAGTAGTTGGGACATCCACCAGTTTATTAGTCATTTTGTACATCATGCATAGTCGAGACATCTTTCTTCTGTCTTCAAGTGAGGTCCACTGTGTCCAGGTGGTAACGTTACTTGTATGGAGGTGGTCAAGAGTACAAGTTTGACTGTACAGTGTGCAAAGTGCATATATATAGGGCTGCATCTAAATGTAGGGCAATCATTTATTAGTGCAAGCATTGCTGACACCATGCTGACATTTTGTAACCATGCAAGCTGTTGAAGTGTTAAATGTAAGTTGAAGTCATTTGAAAATTGTAAAACAACAATCTTGTCTGCAAGCTATTTTTAGAACCTTTGATATTGTTCTGGGATGTTTTGTTAAAGGTGGCATGGATGCTGTTGATAATAGTTTTCATGGTGTTGTGGAAACACTCCATAGAGGAGCTATTGACTATTTTTATTTATCTCATTAGAAAAGTGTGTTGCACAGCTTTAACATGACTCTTGTGCTGAAGATGCATGAAACTGCTTTTCAAAACACCAATGAATGCAATTATGTTTATTGTTCAGTTATGTTTTGTGTGAACACTTGGCCTTTGAAAGAACTTGGACAATGTTGTACAATGTAAGGGTTTAGACAAAAGTCGTATTTTCTTATTATGTGGAATGGACCTAATTAGAAAGCCTTTTAAGGGTTGATATGTTACCTGTAATTATTTATTGAACTAATGATATGATATTGTGCCATATGGAGGAGTGATGGTGTAAATTTATGTACTACTAATGAGATGGGAAGCCACACTAATTTAATTCCTTGGTTGTCTGGGGTTTGTTCAGTTTTTCATCTGCTGCTTGTATAGACTGCATCTGCTGCTTGTCAGTGTTGTACATAAATCCAGAAATTACTTTATGTTTCTTATGTAAGACAAAGGAAAGCTTTGATATCTAAAAGTGGGGATAAGGAAGCAAGAAGAGGAATAAAGGTTAATAGTAGCCAGTGTTACAGGCTAATTTAAGCCAAAAGCAGTGGGAATTGTAAGCCACATAAACATGTATTATACTGTATGGTGTTCACCATTTGTATCAATAACTTTCTATTTTTTTGGAGTCTGAGAATAAAAATTATGTATCTACATTTGATCATTGTGGACATGTGCGCTTCTACTTGGGATGCAATGTTTCAACGCAGTTTAGTGCTAGGCAGATTGTCAGAGTAATATAAAAAACGTCACAGTACACAGCAGTGCTGTTCTTAAAAGTCACAAAATACTTTTTATTAATAGTCCATTCAAGCTTTATATTCTTTCTCATACAGACATCTTCATTTCTAGTTTATCATACAAGTCATTACATCATATTTCCATTGACTTTCCATGGCACATCTCTATTACATAAAATCTCAAGTATAGAACAACTGTAACAGTACTGTAACAATGTTACATCTTTGCTTCACACAAAATCAATGAATATCTGGTAAGAATACATGTAGCAGCAAAATGTGACTGTGAATATGTTAGCTTACATTTAGGGGCATGTGAACAGCTTGACATTTAAGCAAAGACAATGTATTTTTTTGCAACGTTATTGCTTTTTATGCTTTATTTAAGGCCACACAAATTGAATGGTGCCAGTCTTCCCTTGCATGCCTATTAGAGTTGGTAAATTTTGAAAACAATCATATTCATCAGCCTTTTTCTTAAATCACTTAAAACAGCCCATAAGAACACATTTGGGAGTGCTGCCTTCTCTGCTGCTAAAACAAACTATTATAGTAAGCCTGTTAAACATGCATGCTAAGTGTCAGCTGTAGCGTTGCGTAGCGAAAATCCGGATGGTACCCAGGCTAGTCTGAAGAGTAACTCAAGATGATCTCATACCTGTGACATATTTTAAGTTTCCTGATTATTATGAATTTCTTGCTAATTCTGTCTAGATGCTAGCTCCTTTTAGGCAACAGACATGCATATAGCAGGAAATGAGAGCTCATGACCTTTTCTAGGACCTTAAACTCAATAGTGTCTCTGACATGCATAGCATGTGGAAATGGCTGTGGAAACACATTGTTAGCCAACACACATACGGACACATAGAAAACAAAACCCCAGACTGCACACAGAGGTACATGTATCAAACTTAACAACAACCATGCTCTCCATCAATTGCTGCCAAAGAAAGGTTGCTAATTACTAGTATCTTAAAGATATACGATAAAACATTCAGACAAATTCAGACATGTGGCAAATTAAAAATTACTGCACACCCTGAAACCTGCAAAATAAACTGCAACATTAACCTCATTGCAATATTTAATTAAGTAACATATATATATATTAGATAAGTACACCAGTTAATACCCAATATTGTTGCCCCCAGTTATATTGCTTACAATACCATTTTGATACAAATATACAAGGTACATACAATGCAAAAATACTATTTAGCAACATTTTATAGCTTGAAAACTGCAATAGGCTTGCAAAGCCAGTAAATTACAAACTCAGCTAAAAATTCTGATATGTTTCCGATTAGAATGGCTATCATGTATAATACCTCTATACATATAGTACTTAAACATGCTACAGCACACTGTCAGTCAGAATCTATCAATAATCCTATATATAATTACATATTAACCACTTGTAAACCAGAATGTCAACATGCAAAGGAATGGTCTCAATTCTTCCTGCTGCAAAATAGAGTTTGATCCAGCAAGCATAGATTGAAACTCAGATACATGGTACTCACACCTCCATGTATACTGTAAGCATTATGCTGCCAATCTGAAAATCACTATAATCAGAAGCCTTCCACAAGCATATATTCACACATTAAGTAGAATGTCATATCACAGATCTTGTGAAAACAGTGTCCCAGTCTGGCCCAGCCTTTACCACATTACAGCCTACTGGACAGGTGATACATCTTTGGGGATACATTTTGGTATTGAAGGAAAAATGTCTGACCACAAGTGTTTAGTAGCACACATTGTTAACGACTGTTTGGTGTAACTGGGATGACACTGGGACAGACTGGGTGTCTAGCAGCATGACAAGTCTGTGAATAGTTTCATCAGGTTGATAGATCACTGGATAACAATTGAAAGTTCTTTGTACACAACCAGAGAGTTAAGACCCAAATGTGACTGTAGTATTAAGACCTAAGCTGCAGTGTGAAGTAGGACCAGTCAGTACTTCACTTAAAAGTTAGAAAGCTTCTTTCTTCAAGGTCACAGATGGCACCTTCAAGGTGACAGACAGCACCAAAATGTTGGCTAGGTCAAATCTCTGGTTGTGTATTATAGCACATCAAATACCCACACATTCCTTTGCCTTGGTCAAAATAACACTTGGTCAGACCTGTTTGTTTCAGATGTATTCCTCAATATCACAATGTACATTTACAGCACCAGGCAGGACAGTGTCGAAGATGCCTTGCCACAGATGAACAGAATGAGGGAAGGGAGGAGAGAGAAAAACAGGAGAGACAGACAAACAGATGTTAATTCAGGAGAAGCAACATAAATGCAGTGACAAACTAGGAAAAACTGACTGAAGACAACATGAAACAGGATGACAGTTACGTGACTTAAGAACACAGTGAACTTGCACTTCATTCAGAAGTGATGTTTCTTTTCTTATGGCAGTCTCCCTAGACTCTAAGTAACAAACGTTTTGCTGTCCCAAATGTACATTTCAGTTATTTAAGTTACCTTACCTGTGTCATACTATGAGTATCAAATGTTTTATGCATAGGGAACATCGCATGGCAGCATCAATGAGCAGTGTTAAAAGTAGAGGTGCACACAAACACTGTTGCAGTACTCACACTGTAATAGAGACTTACATGCCACAAACAATGACACAAACTGCTTTCTTTTCATGTCGGTACTAAGTTGCCTTCAATAAGTTTAAAAGTTGCCTTAAAAAGTTGCAATATTCTGACTTATTAAATTGTAAATACAACTTTTCAGTTATTTCTTATCAAAAATTGTTAGGGTAAGTGAACCATATCAAAATGACTTGTTCCACGGTTACCACAGCACATTATAGGCCAGCATTTTAGTTTTCTGCACACTTTTCCGTCATTGATCTTAATCATTCTACAGACTGTGTTGTCGTCTGGAGGCCATGCAGCTTGCAGTGGAGAAATCAGACACAGGACTCTCTCTCCAGATCTACACTGTCATCATCCTCCTGGATCCTCAGGCTGGGAGAACCAGGTATTTCTATCTCTACTTGGTTGGGCAATAGCGTCTTTTTTTTACCCCCTTTGGGAGGGGAGGGGCTTTTCTTACCATGAGGGAGTAGAGGCACTTCTTCTGGGATGGATTTATTTGACTTCTGATGTCGACTCTTGGGTAGCATAGGCTCCTCTTCTTCTCTACGGTCTGAGGGGTGTGTGCTATCTTGCCTGGAACTCCAGGGGGGTTCTGGAACCGTCCAGGGGGCCTGGTCTGGGGAGGGGGGGAAAGAGGGGGGTGCGGAAGCAGTTGGGGAGGAAGGGAGGGTCCAGCAGGGCTGGGAGCTGCTGTCCAACAAGCCTTGGTCGGGGACTGCTCTTGCTCCCTCCACTTCCACCACACCTGATTTCCACGGTAATGCTTCCTCTGCCACGGTAGGTTTGAGGATGGTCCTAGGAGCATCCATGTTGTCTACAAGAAGAACATTACATTAATACAAGGACATACATTGGTGTTGTCCATTGTGCAGCAAACCATCTACATCTGATATACCAATTTACAAAATACCAAAAGTATCACTCTCTCCACTCACCATAAGGTTTGGGCTCACTCTTGGCTGTGAAGGTGATCCCAAGGTCATCATCATCATCGTCATCAGCTGTTACCACCAGATCAATGGGTGCTGGTGCTATAGATGCAAAGTTCAACATGTTTAGTATTTTATTACTAACATACATGTGTATCTAAGACTAGTAAGAGTACCTTAAAGTTTTGACTCAGAGTTTACATCATAGACATTTGAAATAAATGTAGTTGGCATTGTGTATCATTTTGTGCTAAATCTTTCAAATCTAAATCATGTAAGTTTTTTCAAAAGTCATTCCTGTATAAGGTAAAGGATTAGGTACCCTTGCTTCAATTTTCTATCCAATGAACATTGTTTGTGGGCTACTCATCAGGTTACACACAGGGCATGACTTTTTCCCAGTGCAGTTCTAGCCAGTAGCCATGACGTCATTTTTTTTAAATTAGCCCAATCTTTATCTTTGACGGACAGAAATTGGCATGTAAGGATATGGAAAGAAATGTCAGCTACTGCTCAAATGTCAGCTACTGCTCAAAATGCAGGAAATAGCATTTCAGAGGGTCAATTAAGGTTGCTGAAGATTTTCTAGGGGGAGCATGCCCCAGACCCCTTCTTAAGGCTTGTCCAACTTTGGTGCTCCTCATGATCTTGCCTAAAACAAAATTGAGATGACAGAAAAAAATGGCTAGAACACTGGTCCAGTGTGTTACAGTATTACTGGTACAAAAAAAAAACATTGACTTTGCCATTGACCATGGAAAAAGCACAAGGGTTTACAAATACAAATGTACTGACAAACATCCTACAGCACGTGTCACCTGATTCTATGGACGTGAGAGAAGTTGCAAGCGAAGATGCTCTGTACAGCGCTGGTAAAGGATAGGATGTTACAAATCAAAGAAAAGCATCTGTTTAATCATGGTATAATCAGCTTCTTTAAAAAATAATCAATAAAAAAGTACGTAAAAAACAGGATATATTCAACACTTTGTTGTTTTGTTATGAAATGTTGATCAGTAAACTATTCAATCTCTTCCCTCCATTCCCTTTGGACTATTCCATATAACTGCAGTTTTGTGGACTATTATTAAGTTTGTAATGGCTGGTACAGTGGTAGGCAAGCAGTATAATATAATGGCATTAACTAGTTGGTATGATATGACAAAGTAATACATTCTAGACATTTGAAAGGAAGAGAATACAGGACCTGGTGCATAAAAGCGGTGAATGAAATGCAAAGCAATAATGGTGACTAAAAAAAATAATACATTATTATCATACATGTAACTATATCAATATTTATTTTGTAGAAACTTACTTGTTTGAACAAGAGCCTTGTTTTTCTCATCAGACCAGCTGACGTTGCGCCGAGGTCTTCCGTGTGGTTCAGGAGGCATGAGGTGATCTCCACTGGACGACTTCTTCATTCCACGGCCATTCAGTCCGTTTTTCCTGTCTGTGAAAACAACAATTTTGTTTGCTTCTATACATGTACAGGTAGTTATTACTCCCAGATACGGAGTATATACTAGTAAGTGTTTTTGGTGGCTGAGATGTGGGTTTGTCTGACTGTTTGTCTGAACAGATTAGGTTGAAAGCACATGGGTGGGGAGGATTGACAGGCAGAATGGTGGGTCAAAGGGTCAGAAACAGGAAATAGGGTGAACTTGTAGGTCATCAAAGCCCATCCATATCTATAAATCACCACCTGGAGGCTGCTAACTTGACAGACATTTCATGCATGGAAGTGCTTCATGAGTGCTGCTATCATAGAAAAAATGTGAAGGTCCTGTATGCTGTATGGCCTCTCAAGTGAGCAATATTCTAGAAGCGTCATTCTGTATGGGGACAGCTGGAGACTACGTACGGTGTTTGTGGTGGCGATGGCGACGGTGGCGAACATTGCGCCGGAAAACTTCCTCGTTCTGTCTGTCCTCCGGCAGCATGTGCTTCCCTGTGAAGGTCTTGTGCTGCAATGGGGAAGTACAACATCAGAGTTAGTGTAACATCAGAGAGAAATGTTGTTAGACGGTAGTCACATTTAGCCATCTGGAGATCAGAGCACAGTGTGGATATAATGTGGGAAGAAGCTAGTCCTATTCTAGCTCCAGTCTGCTCATCTGATTTGTTTAATTGGCTCTGAGTTGCATGGTCCTCTGTAACAGCATGGTAATGAGGCTGCACAGGCATGTTATAAAATATTATTAAGTACTATATGAAACAATCAATGACGTAAGAGCCAAACATTCAAGTAGGAATCATGCTAGTTTACTTGGGAGCAATCCACAAAGCAGACTGGAGCTACAATGAGAGGATGCAGGACACTCTATACCAAAAAACACAATGACATGGAAAGGGTTGATAAAACTGGTCTTTATTCTCAGATTGCAACTTCTGGTTGCTGACAGGTATAACCTGTAACACTGAGTCACAAAACTTGTCCACAGCACTTTTCCACTCATCATTCTATGTTGGGAAACACCTCTAAACAGTGACACCATATGACAGCACTACTCGACATGATGTTACCCATTGCCTGACAGGGAGCATGGTCTGCTGTAGGAGCCCAGTTATGTCATGTTCCTCTGTGTCCTGGGACAGCTGTCTTCTGGACTGCACAACAGATCACATCTCCAGCCGTTGGTACATGAATTCATATTGAAAGCAGCTGCTTTTTGTCACCGCTACTGTTATTGTATACTTACCACATTCATTGTATTGAGAGTTCAATTCTAGTAGCCTGGGCACCATGGTAGCTAGCAACATTAGGGAGCTGGCAGAAACTATGGAGGATGGCACCCAGGCTACTAATTCTACTTTCTATGTGCAAGGCATGATATTTTCAATATCAACTAAAACAATTGAGATGGGCCCCTGATTATTGGCTTCATGTACAGAAATGCACAAATAAAGTTTCTTTCCTACAAAATTGATGATTTGCACTCACCGGTACTTTGACTCATGCAATATTCACTAACTACATTGTATATAATACAAAGGAAGACTACTGTTTTTCTAACACTCTAATTGCAGAATAATACACCAATGTGACAATGCAGTTGAGCACTATTTCCTTGTGTGACATATGCGATCTCTAGACTGTGTGTCTGCACCTACCCTTTTCCTGGTGTGGTACATGTTCTCCTGCAGCAGGTGGTGTAACTCAGCATCGTCCACATCCTTGCCTGAGTACTCCGCAGTGATGGCCTGCATGTCCAGACACGTGTCACTGGGTTTCTGTTGTCTGAAAAAATACATCAGTTGTGTTGGCTTGATCAAAGTTGAAAAATGCAATAATTTGAATTTGAAACATGCCATTTACAAAGCACCTTTAACATTCTACTTCCCTTGCATGCCGTTTTAACTCAAAGGTTTCAGAAAGGGTAGGTGCCATCATGATATATTAGTCATATAGCAGGTACCTTCAGCTACAGTTGTCTGCTGTCAATTGATTAGTCACAGAACTGGAACACTATGTAGAGCTTTTAGCCTATTTCAGTAACTGCCTCTGTGGCTATTGTTCACAATAGAATGTTATAGAAAAAAGTATAAAAGGATAATTCTGTTAAGGGTTGATAGTACAAAGTCCCCTGAACAGCTGGTCATGTCATTTGTTCTATTTAAAGATATGCCATGGTTCCGACATTGTGCACATGCCGGATATTGTTTTGAATCCACTCGTCTTTTGACAGGATGAATACAGCCTGGTCAATTCATAGCAGTAGATATTTACCATCCACAATCACAATCTCAGTCCTTATAATAGAGACGATACCTCTGGCTGTTGATAAAGACATTAACTTAGAGAATAAACCTGGTCATCTCCAAAATCCAAACAACTTAAAGATGTCAGACTTACAAGCTACAAGAAGACGTTTCGTTCCTCAGAAGTCGACCCACAGAATCAATGTGCATCTGCCCACTCAGCACCATCTCATGGAGGCTTGCCGCAAAAGAAACGTTCCTCTTCAACATCTCTTGGGCGTCTTTTTCGTTCAGTTTGCGGTGAACTTCCAGGATTTCCTTGTCCTGTATGTCTTCTCTGTAGTTCTTGACCAGAACTTTCTTCACGTAGTGGTTGTCGAGGTACTCAAATCTGCAAAATTGAAGAGTATAATATAAGGAATAGTATATTTAAATATTTTTGTATAAAAACTGTATTGGGAACAATCGGTCTTTTGAAAAGTGACAACAAGGCCATGTACCATGATCATGTGAGCTTCTCCCAGCTACATGGTATCTCACAGACCAATGGTTTTCTTGGTCACAACATTTAGCCCGAAAGAAAAGGGTTACAAAATGGCATTTGTTTTGTTGAGTAATAAAGAAAACAGTACAAAGAAACTGAGAGCAAAATAGATACATATAACAGTGAAGAAATCAGCACCAAGGACAGGCTAAGCATGAAGGTCAACACAATGGTACAAACAACACCGAGCAGATTATTATTGGAATGAGCAGAGCACTTTGGACTAATGCCTCTGACTATTTACAGCTTAGAGGTACATATCCAATCTTTTGTCACAAACTTCTCTGTTACATAGCGGATTATAATGACCCCCAGTGGGGGTCTTCACGCTTCGTTAAAAATTGAAAAATCTCAAGATTCATTCTAAAGATCTCAATATTTTAGACGAAATCTTGAGAGCTTATAAGACAATCTTGAGATTGTTCATGACAATCTCCAGATCTTTCAGAAAATCTTGACATGAAAGCAAAAGGTCTCAAGATCTTTCCAAATGTTTTCAAAGTATCTTGAGATTTTTCCAAAGCATCTCGAGATGCTTTAAAAAATATCAAGATTGTTTAAAAGATCTCACGTTTTTTCAAGATTGCTTTAAAAATCTTGATATTTCTTAAAGCATCTCGAGATGCTATGGAAAAATCTCAAGATACTTTGAAAACATTTGAAAAGATCTTGTAGACCTTTTCTTTTCATCTTAAGATTTTCTGAAAGATCTGGAGATTGTCATAAAAATCTCAATATTGTCTCATAAGATCTCAAGATTTAGTCTAAAATATTGAGATTTTTCAATTTTTAACGAAGCGTGAAGACCCCCACTGGGGGTCATTATGATCCGCTATGTAACAGAGAAGTTTTTGACAAAATATTGGATATGTACCTCTAAGCTGTAAACAGCCTGAGGCATTAGTCCAAAGTGCTCTGCTCATTCCAATAATAATCTGCTCGCTGTTAAACATGATTTTTTCATAAATAAAAGGCAACACCATTAACTGTTAGTCTCCTTGTAAAAAGGGTCACAGTTATGCAAATTTCCTTACATAAATACAAATACAGTATTCACAAGTAAACATAAACCCTTAATACAAAAGATAATTTGGATGTCATTTATGGCACAGCAGAGCTGAATTATTCTTGACAACCTATACATGTGACTACATGTATATATTACCTGTCTCTCCAGTAGTGGTGGCCATGATGACCAGTGATGTCCTCTATTGCCGCCATCATGTGATCAATCAACTACGAAAGGAACAGATAATGATGACGTCAAAATTTTTGACCAAGAAGACATTGTTGCCTGTTGCCCAATTTACTGTACAGTTCCCAATGAAATGGAATAGAATGACCATGACTAATGTTGTATACACATGATTTCAAGTTGTTTACTGTAAATTTGCCTCACCCTTTCATTGATCTGCTCTGTCATGGATGGTTTGTGCTTGGCACTTCTCTTCACATGCAGCAGGTTCACCAGTGGCTTGATGGTGATGCCCTGGGTGGCACGGGATTCAAAATATGTGGGAAACACTTCATAGTACAGTGTACATCATTCTACATCTCAAACCCGATTCCTACTCTACAAATGTGCCCCATATGGCAGAGACAGTCATTCTTATAAAGAACTGTTGAGCCATAGCCGCAGCTGTAGGGCTGTTAACAATTATCATTTTACCATAGCCAATACTGACAGAAGCAGCCATAAAAAAAGATACAGGTCAACCTTCTCCCTGCTGACTAACCCAGTAACCAGAGAATAGGTAACTAAATGGCAGAGTACTTCAGTAAATTTGATAAAGGTTAAAATGCAAGAATCATAAACCTAACACAGCATTTATGATTACAGGATTATATGTCTGCAAAAGCTTGGCAAGGACTATACAGACATCAGTGTTAAAACCCACCTGTAGAAACACAGTGAAGTAGATGACACAGATGGTTGCTGTTATCATGGCCTTCTTCTCAGGAAATTTTTCCTCATCCAGCAGAACCACCAGGGAGAAGGCCACGGCCCCACGCAGCCCGCCGTACGCCATTACAAACTGGTCTACTCCGGTGTACTTTGTCATACGATACCTGTTCAGCACCCAGGTCAGCACCAGGATCCCTATAGTAGCAAAAAACAGCAACAATGAATAAAAAATTAAAGGTAACCCATGTTTGAAAAGTAGTCAACACACATGATTTATTAGATGGTAGTTTTAGGCAATAAATTCTTCACTCATAAAACTTACAAGTTGCGAGAAATTTGGCGCGGGAAAATTGCATCATCCCTGACCAGCCAACATGTATTAACCATTGTAAGGTGACCAATATACAGTTTGGCAATTCAAACAGGAACAGTCCAAATTTTAAGTAAGTAATTTTCTGCATCACAGTATGTAACCTAGGACATACACAGCAGCATCCCTTACCGATCCCCCTGTAGAGCAGACAGAACAGCAGAGTGAACAGCACAAATCCTGTGTTCCAGTCGTGGTAGCTGTTCACTGTGGACAGCCCCAGGAACATGAAGATGACGGTTTCCGACATGTTGGACAGCATCTTCATGGAGTACTTGATGGTTGTGTGGGACTTCTGGGAAATGTTGGCTTCGACATAGTTCTTCATGGAGATCCCACAGAACACAGCTCTGCAGAGGGTTACAGAAATGTAGATTGTAGGACAGTCTTTGAATTAACTATATATAATTTGATGATAAATGTACTTTGAGACAATTAAAAGGAAGGCTTTTTGAAGTTAACTCTCTTCCTCTTACATGGACTTTCCATGGCATGTACTACAGGTAATATTTTGTGGTAAGTTTTTAACCGTTATATTCTGCATAAACTGAAACAAAATTGATTGAAGTATGGAAGGTTCTTGCAAATTAGAACTCTATTGCATTCCGCTGGCCCAATAACATTATAATCCCACATGCTTTTAACAACATTTTAGGTGTTCTCTTCCACTAGACTGCAGTTACTGGAAAGTTGACGCAAATGGCTGTCAAATTCACCGGAGTATTCAAAGAAAAATCCATCAAGCCATGTGCTATCTGTCTACATCCTCTTGAGGCCTCAACAACATCCATGATTTAATGCAAGGAACTAGAAGGAGAGGTAAGTTTACATTTAATGGTCCTCTGAGGAATCTCCTACACCATATTCTGTCTGAATGGATAGTGTTATAAAAATGGTGCACATCTGTATGCAATTCAAGCGGCCATACTGTCCACATTGATGTATGTAGGCTGTGTGCACAGCAAGCTGTCAGAGAATTGGCTGCCCTCTAGTGGTATCTTCATCGCCTGAAGGGATGTCACATGATTGGATATCGTGTTAATCTGTGTCTCATCCATCGGGCTATCTTGATGATATGGATGACATCTGCACCTGATTTCAGTCTCTTTCCAGACAAAATGTTCTGTTCTTTTTGATATATTTGCTATGGTAGGCAATAATGCTTCTAACATACAAATAGAGGAGGCACTATATGAGCCTTTTTTGTAACATATGGATGACATTTGCATTGAATTGCATGACTTTACCCTGTCTTCAAAACATCCTCTGTTTGATTGATAGGCAATGTTATTCTGATTCAGCCATCCTAATCCAACTTACAGATGAAGGCACTATATGAGGTCTCTGTACATCCACATTAAAAAGAGAGAATATAGGAATGTTATAACTGTTGAAAAATCATCATCTTACCTGAACAGGTGCAAGAAGTGTTGAAAAATAAGGCCATTAAACATCTTCTAAGAAACCATTCATGACGCCTGTGCAGACTCAGCAGGTACAGTTAAATCATAACTTTATATGATGAGCTTTCTGAGTTAAGTGGCAATCAACTTCGATCAGTTGGAAGCATTTCAACAAACTACATATCAATTTTTAAGATGAATGTGACAATATGTCAGCTGTAATTGGGCACTTTCTCCAGTTATATGTAAAACCCCACAGGGACACCTGGGGTCTGAAGCACACTCCATATAGAGAAACATGTCAAGAATTCCAATCCTTCTGTTATTCCTCTCATGTTTTTGGAGTTACAATATACATGTACCTATTCCTTAAATGACAGACACTTATCTGAACAGGTGCAAGAAGATAAGGGTGGTTGGAAAACTGAGAATGTCTTTACTGCAGTGCTTTTCCTCTGATGAATGCCCATCTTGAGCAATAGATGCCTTTATTGGTAACTTACCAGTAAAGGCGTCTTTTGTTTGTAACAATACCAGCATATTGTGTTGTTTCTTTCATCTTTCGTTACTTTTTCCTGCCTAAGTAGAATCGATAACCCAACTAACCTCCATGCATAGTAAAATGAGGAAATTATCATGAAAAGGCACCAGATCTAGATCATATCAGCATTTTCATCTGCCCATACCAGTTCCAGTAGGATGTGCCCAGAAAGTGAAATAGATGGAAAGCCCCAAGGTCATGTACAGAAGACCTCATTACGACAGAGCCAATTTCAGTGTTCTCCACAGATTGCCAATTTTACATCCAGTGTAATCAAAGCAATCAGAGCACACATGGTGTTGCAATTCTCACTGAATGATAAACAGGTTGAGACGGAATACACTAAGTCTTGTCAAATCTTTCATTTGTCATAAGATACCGACATGAGACAGCCAGGCCCACAAGGATCACTTTCCTGATCATGGATGGCCTTTTCTTGAACCAATAAGCCTCGAGAGTAATGGCAGTGATTTGATTGTGTTATGCACGGTGAGATTTCTCTTCTCTGCCAATTACAGCCAGGGGCTGTACAGGGAGACGGAGACTGCAATTGATAGGGCTGAAGTGGCAGGGTCTGGAGCGGCTGCTATTTATCTCTGACTCAGTGACCTCAATACACCCATAGGACAGCTTTCTGCACTGCCTCTACGAAGCATTCACACCAGGGCATACTTTTCAAGATGGATGATATGGTCTTAAATGAGCTAAAGGTGTGGCTCCTTCAAATATTGGAACAGACAACTCAATCCCCTCAAAAGACTGCATTGCAATGCCAATATTGCCACTGTGTACAAACTGCAAGATTCTGTATGAACAACTATGAAAGGGGTGCTAGTGTCACAGAAATGAAAAGAAACCTACAGTGGGTGTCACTGGAAGACAGACGAAAAATGTCCAGACTATGCATGAGTAGCCGTGCCGAATGCCTGCAAAGCCGGTGTGTTACACGGAGGGGTAGTTATACTGGCTATACAGATACAGAATACAAACTCCTTCTCTTTGTTCTTAGGGATACTTACGCCATAATACCCGACAGGTGGAACATCTCAGCAGTCAGGTAGGACAGGTAGGAGAACACAAACACGAACAGTGGCTCAATCACTCTCACATGATCTGTAAACCTGCAGTCAAACATATTACATTTGTTGTGTTTTTTTAAATCCCTTTGAGAACACTTGTATATGGTTAGATAGCTGTAAATCTATAACTGTATATTACACTTAGATTGAGAAATTCATAAGTATTTGATATCATCAATAGATATTGAAATTGATGCTGTATATTGTAAATGAAAGAAGTATGGGAAGAAAGATATAACACTTTCATTTCAGCACTAAGGACAGGTATGGTCTAACAGGTCACTTTAACTATGCAGTGTTTTGGCATGCACCTTTTAAAACCATGGGTAGCTATTGAGTGTATTGCAATGATATAAATGGATTCATTAACAACAACACAATCTTATTGGTATAAAGTATAAGGTACAAACATATGATTAGTGTGTCAATCTACAATCTGACCTTGTTGTGAAGGATGTAATGATCCCAAAGATGACCCCGATGAGAACACCTCCCAGCCCCACAATGAAAAATGATGCACAACCCGCCACAACGTCAATGGGTATGATCTTCTTCTGGCCAATCTTATTGTACGCCTCAAACATGCGGTACAGAACCTGCGAAGAAAGGGTCCAACCATTCAGAGCTGTATTTGATTCATGCATGCTACAGTCTTTATTTGTTCATTACATGAACTTTCAGCATTTCAAAGCATCCTTTGAAGTGTCAAAATTGTAAGCAGTACAAGTTTTAAAGGTGATACTAAATGTGAAGAGATTCTGAAGCTGTGGAAATGTTGAGATGTGTGTGTAAGCTTCACCATACATGCAGGTATAGAGTTAGGTTTAAACTTGGAAAGGATATAAGTAAGAGCTTAAACTTGACCCTCACCACTGTCACGGCATCATTCAGCAGTGACTCCCCGAACACGGTGATGTGGAGAAGTTCGTTGACGTGGACCTCCTCGAACACGGCCAGTACCGCCACGGGATCCACTGCGGAGATGAGGCTGCCAAACAGGAGGCAGCGCAGCGGGGAGATGTCGCTGACGGAGCCCAGCCAGCCCAGCTTCGCACACCCGTACAGCGACATGGAGATGCCAAAGGTGTTCCACAAGGTGCCAACAACTGGGAAACACAGAATGGATTACATTCTGCAGATTCATTTAGTCACTGACAATAAGTAGTGAATGCTACTTGAAACATCTGACAGTTTTTAAAACCTATCCAGTTGCTTGAGTAACAATTACTTGTGTAACAGAATGAATTAGTTTTGCACAGGTATCAGCAACTCTTATGAAGGAGGTATATAATGAGATTTTCCATGATGAAAACATTCACTTTTAGATCACTAAAAAAAAGGTGGCTGGACATTATCTAGAATGTCTGTAATTTAATGGGTTAATGCAATTTTGGTCCAGTGTTATACATTGATTAAAGATATATTTAACACTTCTGACATATACTCTAGTAAATCATGTGGTCCTGATCTACAATCTATTGTGCAAATGTATTTACATGTAACATTTTTGGAATGAATGCTGTAGACCAATTTGTTGACTGCCTACCTGCATATGTAAGGATGCTGGCAATGTTGTCAAAGAAGGCTCGGTTGGGCATGAAGTACCCAGCATCAACCACGATGGGGGGCAGGAGGAACAGGAAAAAGGTATCTGCACTCAGGGTGTGGATGTTTTCCTCCTGAAATATATGCCAGTTTGAATAGTGATGATGAAATGAAGGGGCACAAGAAAAAACATGATCAATGGTTGCCCAGTAAAAGCATTTTTAGACTCGCTCCCCCATACACAAAGCAGCTTTGATCTGAACCAGTTCAGAGGAAAACAAGCCCTGCAGATCTGGTAAGGCCATGTTGATTTGATTATGGATGACATTCGCGCCTGCATGAATTTTTGTGACAACTGTAAAAATTTTCTCTAAAGCAGTATGGGAAGAAAGATACAGCACTTTCATTTCAGCACTAAGGACAGGCATGGTTAAACAGATCACTTTGCATTTTCAACTATGCAGTGTGTCAGCATGCACCTTTTAAAATCATGGCAACAAAAATGTTTTGCCATCTTCAGGCTTTCCACTTAAGTCAGACGACTGTAAAAATTTTCTCTACGTACTAAAGCTACCAAAACCTGCTAGATAATCTTCAATCTCAACCGAAAATCTCTTTTCCGTGCACCAATATCTCCCTTTGGAGAAATGCCAACAGGTTAATCCTCGAGGCAAAGGCTGTCATGTGCCATTTACAGCTGGCTGCTACAAATGCACGGTCATGAAAATCCTACTTAGAAACGCAATAGCAGTGTTTTCAGCTGAAAGGGCAGATTGCCTGCCGCTAAGCCTAAAGGTCACTAACTTAAGGCAATATCAATTTATTTATTTGTTTCTCTGAATCCCTGTGAACACACCAGGAGCATTTTTAGTTGTATGGTCCTCTGAAATACAGGATAACAGGTTTAAATATGTATACAGAATGTATACAGGGTTTGAGCAGGCATTCATTCTCAAGTTGATTCCAGTTACTGACCTGCTTGGTGAGAAACAGGATGGCCCCAACTATCAGCCCGAGTACCACTAGTAAGCAGCTCTCTGGAACGATTTTTGACACCTTGTTTGACAAGTGGAAACCTGGAGGAAGTGAGGAAATATTGCCATTAGATATGCACCAGGAAGTAATGTGGGAAGGGTATACATTTATAACATAACTTCAATTGAATATGTCACACCCACAAAGATGGGAGATAATTTCAGTCTGTTGATATTTGAGACGTGCTCATTTCCATTTCTTTGATAGTGGTACTATACGCATTTAAGTTACATGTATTATCATATACATGTACATGACAAAATATTTACAATGCAGGCCTACAAAAAATGATGACAGAGTGTTTATGTGACATTCATAGGCCTCACCGGAGACCATAGATTGACTCTTTTCAAATAGATTAGATTACTTCTTATAAAAGCCTGTGGGAATCATTCTCTATAGGAAAGCCTTTCAGCACCAGGGACAGAGAAAGTTGAGATCTTAGCTTAAATCACTGCCACCAACATGGCCATATAGGGAACAAAGCTTAAATGAAGCTATCTTTGGAGCAGACATACGTGAACAGCATAATAAATACAGCAGCGACCACCTAAACTGATTGGCATCAGGCTACAGTAGTTTGCCACTCATTGTACAACCTGATAATTAAGCAAAACATCCCCCGAGCAAACCCCATAAGAGAAACTAACTGGATTTCTAATGGCTTGTGATGTGCCTTCCAGTGGTGTGTGATATTGAATTTGCTAAATACATCTTCTGCAACGAAAGCTCTTGTCAACCATATAATGGTGCCTACACTCTGCATACTGAATATTATGACTCTATATGCTTTCAACTGTATGCTTGACAAAGCAGACAATTTTCAAAGCTGAACAAGTATGTAAGAAATTGGTTTGCTGAGTATATGTAAACATGTCATGTGTTGGCGGTATCAGAGAAAGAAATTAAGCATGACCTGTCTCATGGGTGCACTGACCCACAAACATCATTTTTCATGTTTTGTTTTTATTTATTTCTGTATTTATTTCATTATTTTATTTATTTCTGTATTCTTTTACCAGGGTGGCACTACTCAGTGTTATAGCACTGCTTTACAGAGTGGCCCTGGGTACGACACATATATACACGGAAATACAACAATATATACACCGGATACAATACAACACAGGAAAATGCTCTGAGTGGTTTGTTACCCGGTGACATGGTTCACTGATTGATGTTTAGTAATGGCATATGATTACTGGTAATTCTCCTACATAAAGTTGAATCAATGTATAAATGTCAACAGTCATAGTAACGACTGCTTCCTATCACCGAGCAAAGTGGAATAAATTGTTAATTGGTTTTCACGGGAGAAAAGTTCAATAGAGGGCCTGCTGTGTCCAAAATAAACACCAGTCCTGTCTTTTACACATGTATGTGTGCTTAGATATACCAATAGGTTCAACATGATTTTTCTAGATCTAATTCTTCTAGACTTTTCTGTAAGTCGAGAAGGACCCTGCAATGTGAAAATGGCCAGATGGCATAAGAGTGGACCTTTGATAATAACCAGTTATTAGTAAATGAGCATGTTATTTACTGAATAACATTCCTTGGAAATACCCAGGACACACAGATGGCCATTGGCACTGTTCTTTTTTTGTGTAACAGTTACTAACACACCCTTTCCACGAGAAGTTGTAACCACGTACTGAGCGACCATTAATTTGACAGATCATTCAGAATTAATTTCATGAAAAGTGAAAGTGATCTCGATCCAGTTTTAGCTGACTGAGGAGCTAATCTCCCACGGTCATGACAGAGAAGACAGACGCTATGTACAGTACCGTTTTACAGGTTCATTGTACCGTGGAAATTCCCCTAGCTCTTTTTGCAGCTCCTTTTCGACTAGCACAACAAACAAGGATACATGTAACATCCGTCCTAAGGACTGCAGCCTTTTCCAGTAGCGAACAACTGCTGGGATTTGAACTCTCAACCTCTTGGTCCAGAGGCAGAGTTGCTAACCAGTGGACTACGCAGGCTCATAGAGTAATTTAAGAACAAATTTTTTCTTATGTGTGTTTTGTTGTCTTTTAAATCATACCTAAACAGTTTGTCATATTCCAATAATTATTATAAAATCACACATCAATTGCTCAGTAATAGCTGTTAAGTGAAATGGGACATTGATGCAATCTATATTGGTCTAATTTGAAATAACAATTATCAGAATTACACCATCATTTTCCCTGAATAGTTTAGATATGGAAACACGTCTTGCTGGCATATGTTTAGATCTCACCAATATGACAATTGCAACAGCAGCTGTTCCAAACAAATAACTGCATTGGCTTACTAGGAAAAGGTCAAGCTGTCCTTCAGTTTAAAATGGAGAAGTTTATGACTAATGGAAAAATGTGTTTAACAGCTTCTTGTATTAGGTGTAGGATTAGTATACATATGCAAGGCCTTACTGCATACTGGGCTTGTGTATCAGACTGGTCAGGGGAGAGTGGATCATGTTACACTACACAGATCGCAACAGCATTCTACCAAATGTCATACATGTACTGAGTACTAGTAGTACCAGTATTACATGTAAGACAATGTAGCCTGTGGCATTAGAAGTTAGGGACAACAGGATGTTACTTCAAAAGGATATGTGGACAGAATTTACCATACCAAGAGAAAGGATATTGCCTTACCAGCTGCAGTAAATTCTAATAAAGGATTTGGGACTTTGCGACGTGTTACAAGATTAAAAATCATTTTACAAGACTTGAAATCCTGACTGTATAACTTTAAAACAAAATTTGCAGAAGCAATTGAATTGGACATGATTCAATAATGAATTTCGAATGTAGAAGAAAAACATGTCAAAATAGAATCTGGGATGCAGAATATAAATACGTCAAACTGTAATTGAGAGTCTCAGACTATCCTGAAATTGATTAATAGCAATTGTAATCATTATGGCTTAATTGCTCTTTCTTGATGACTTGAAATGATTGCTATAAAATATTTATACTTTTAGTGTGGTTAAGATAAATGGTTCCATCACAACAGTAATCACAGAATGTCATAGTTTAATATCCAATTCCATACATCATCGCCTGTTGAGACAAATGGACGCTCACAGCTCAATGTTTCTGTGTAACACCCCCAGTCAGAGTTAGAGGTCACACATTACAAGGTCACTGTAAAGTACTGGTAAATATAGAAAGCAGCCCTGGGTGGAGTACCACAGCTGTACCATTCATGGCAACAGGGATGGTCATAACTAAGTCCTTAATTCTAATCATAGCAACAGTTGTTCCTGCTCCTGAGGCAAAACCGTCATTACCACTCATTACAGTGGGGATGGCAAAACAAGCATACAGACAACCAAAAATTTATAATGAATTGTTTCTGATTGAAGCTTGGCTGCTGGTGTCATGGATGGAGTATTCAAATTGGTCCCAAAATAATCAGAGACATCAGCTATCATAAATCTCTTTCCCCTTAATCAAGGAGGTTTAGATTTAATCCATCTAATCTAATTACATGTAAGCTCTAACCACAAGTGGCTTAAGAGCTCTGTTACTAGTGTTAGGCAGTAACCTTTAGAATTGAAAATGGGTTGGCTGAAGACTTAGCTTCTTCCAACTGGAGTTATTACATGATTGGCAGCTGTAGCATTTACTATGGGTGACATATGGTATTGATAGAATGTAATACTATGTATTGTCTATGCAATGTTTGGAAAAGTGTTCTTCCTTTTGGGTCTGACTTGTCAACTTTATTAAACTATAAACAGCTCTCCAAATTTAAATTTTAAAATGTTTCATCAAAGTAGGACTGCAGCAGGTGCCCATAAAGGTAGCAGCAGATAATGAGATGAATAATTAAATTGGAAGACATGACACACTGAATAACTTATTACTGTCTGTATGTGCAAATGAAATTCTAGGATAACGTTACACAAATTAATTAGATCTAGAAATTAAAATTGTCAAGACCAACTAATTTGAAAGCTGATCCAATTTTGCAAATGACAGCTTAATTTTCATCAATGGGAATGGGAAACTCGAGAATTAACAAGAAAGTAAAAGAGGAACCAAACTCTAGCATTTCATCTGCCAGGTAACATTATACCCAACACTTTGAAAAAGTAAAAGAGGAACCAAACTCTAGCATTTCATCTGCCAGGTAACATTATACCCAACACTTTGAAAAAGTAAAAGAGGAACCAAACTCTAGCATTTCATCTGCCAGGTAACATCATACTCACCACTTTGAAAAAGTAAAAGAGGAACCAAACTCTAGCATTTCATCTGCCAGGTTACATCATACTCACCGCTTTGAAAAAGTAAAAGAGGAACCAAACTCTAGCATTTCATCTGCCAGGTTACATTATACCCACCACTTTGAAAAACATTGTCTGACTCTGAGTGGTTTGAAAGATCTCTTTTATTTACAGTACTCCCCAGGTATGTTAGTTTAGATGCAACAGTGAAACTGGGGGATGTTGCATTGGAGATCTCTTTATAGGCATTATCTTGGGGTATTGTGTACTACGTAAACTGGCAGAATTATGTTAGTAGATGTTAAGAATTAAAGCTGAACAATGAGGAACAGGGAAAATAATTTACTTACCAATTTTAGCAATGCTGGCCAGGACGATCCACAGTGCTATGGTGTAGGGGGCCATGACATGATGAAAGTTAAACGTAGCGACTTGGTACCTCGTCGGTGTCTCATCAGCAGAATGTCCGTTGGTCTCGCCTTCTGCGGGTTCCGTACACCCATGATCTGTGGCGTGGCCGTCAGACGACGTTGCATGGCTTTCAGATGTAGGATGGGGTTTGTGGGTGGTGTGAACGGGGTGTATGGTTGTTCCTGCCATACTTCCTTGTTGTGTTGTCTGGCATTGTGCGCCCACAACAAGTAACAATACTGCTAATACCAGAGGTAGAAACTTGCATAACTTTGTTGTCCTCCACTCCATGGCTTAAAAGCTTGGTAGTTTTAGTGCAGGGAACAACAAGATCTTCGACAAGCTGTCAAGCAAAAATGTAGGACAGGGTCGGGTTGGCAACTAGTCCTTTCGCCTTTAGACAGGAAGTCATTCTGGGAACCTGTGCCCTTATACGAACTTTGTGTTGTTGCTAGAAGAGTCCACTTCTAAGAAGGGAGGTCCTGTGCTCAACAACAAGATGTTCAGTAGGTACTGGAATGGCCTGAGTTGTCCAGGTGGCAGGTCATCGTTCTGGAGTTTAGTTTACTCAGACAACAAAGTCTCTGGAGTAGCAGGCATGTTGACAGTCCTAGAGAAAACATGACATACTGGTATTGCAAGTAGTGACCCCTCAGCCCATTGTTCAATAAACAATAAAGGACTGAGAAGAAGAAACAAGCACATTATGTACTAACTATTGGAACCTGTTCAACATGAAAACACTGACCCTAATCTTGTTAGTCTGGTGTACTCTGTGTACATTTTCAGTCACGGTCACAAGCTGAGATATGAAATGGACTAATTCCCCACCAATTGGTCACATAGGTCCGGTCGTTACAAACTCAACAATATAAGGGCCAAGGACGTTTCCACAAGAGTGAAAACGTGCTTGACCCCAAATGAGTGGCGTTGCCCAGTTCCTAAACAAGAACCAATGTCATTAAAACTTCAGAACAATCTGTGGCTATAAAACATTAACTACGGGCATGACTTCGCAGTACAAGGAGGAGTACTTGTGAATGGATTTATACAACAGTACCCACACAAAGTTCATATAAGAGGCGATCAGATAAGAAGCGTGGGAGGAAGTAATACTTGGTAAGATCTTCAGAAAGCTTAAATTCTCCCCGCCCCCGCCTCTATTCCGAGAAATAATCAACACCGAGGGTAGAACGGATCAGTACCTAAATCAGGAAGTGTTCTTTCCGTATCGTCCATGCGAATCTCTCTCCGTTCACGACAATTTACCCACCTTTTCCCGCCTTTATGTTGTGATAACCTACCTCAACGCCTTCCTGTTGTTGAGTTCTACCATATACGACTACAACCCGCAGGAGAACATCGCTCGTGGTGTTATTAAATCACCCCGACCGTTCTGCCTGAGCGCGCTCACTTTTCGAGTTGCTCAACCACCTGAACCGGATATGACGTCAGGACGATCACATTACAAATGTAGGAGGGGAAGAGGGATTCCCTCTTTTATAATCTGCGTGAAAGTTTAAACCGTAATTTCATGTGTCCGCTATTCAACATAACGTCAATTTGATAAGGAGGAAATCAAGATATTGCAATTATAGCAGTATTTTCTTTAAAGCGAATGTCACATTTTTACCTAAAATTACCAAAACCGGAAATTGGTGTAAAGGCTGACAGCAGACGACACGACCGTGTTTGGAAAAAGGGCGGGGCCGACCTACTGCAGTCAGGGGTAGGGCGTCCTCTGTTCTGATGCGATGAAAATCAATGCACAGCATTTTAATACTGTGTTTTGGATTATATAGAAAAAATATTGACAAATGCCTTTCAAACGCGCTACCGGTAAATTTATTCAAGGAGGTTCAAAAAGAGAACATCCTTGATTTATTATGTTGACTTTTCCACTATCTTTCCATCTAAGATAACAAAACATTCAAAAGATTCACTTCTTCCAAAAAAGATTCACTTCTTCCAAATTTGGCGGTAACATTTGTGACGAAATACACAGAACATCCCAGTAAATTATCACACAACGATTCTAACACCCATTATTCGTTTCATATATTAAAGGAATCTTGAACAGATTTTTGTAGAAAAATCCCTACTCGTTCAAAATCCTGCAGTCATTACATTATATGTATTGCAAATCGTGAACTTTATTGGGCAACAATCGTAACGGATACAATGTATGGCAAATTGGTAAATAGCGCTAGATGATAATGATGATTATCTAACAGGTAATCACCTTAGAGGACTCTTCTGTACCAGTCTGCACCTGCACCATTCCCACGTCTGATCGATCTCACAGGAGATGGGGCAAATTTCTGACGAGTGGTGTACGTGCCGGCTTACCAACAGAAACGGCAACAAAGTTCACATCAACCCAAATGGGACTAGCTGCCTTTGGCAAACAGGGTATTGAATTCGTTAAAGGCATCCAATGCAATTATAGGCAGCGTGAGCAGAACAAAATATATTCTAGATGTGGAAATCTGTCTGATATTGGCATCACTGCCATTTCTTTCGTCATCATTCCATACTTAAAGCATTTGAAATAGCCCTCAAACAGTCTACGTGAGACCTCTTTATTTTACGTACCAGTCATAAATAGCTAGAACGAGCCTACTACGCAAAACAAGCAACCGTGCGTTTTCTTTCAGTGACATCGCATTTTTGACTCACAGATATCAGTATATGCTACGGGATAGGTATGATTCAACTTACTACATTGAAAGAATATAAGAAAATTGACTTTTTGAAAATCCAGTTTTGCTGCTCTAAAGTTGCATTAGATACCTTTAGGAGATATGACTTGCGATCCCCTGGCTGTTAGCCTGCTTTCACGCAATATCAAATGGCATTGTGGTACACCGACCGGACGGTTTGTCCTTTCCTCATTGACCTTTCCCTTCACGTATCTAATGTCTGCCGCTCGCGTGCCTGCTTCGTTCCCTAGGGTACACCAGATGTCATCATAATACTATCTACAAGACGTTAGTAGGTCATAATAAGGCGACAGAAATTTTTCATTGCTGCAGCTTTTGGTCCCAACAATGCCACCTCCATTCTTATTACATCTGAATAATATATTGTATAATCCATTGTTGTGTACCATTTTAAGGTGGAGGACTCGCATGTTTATGACAATCTTATCAGAAAGAACGCATGTTAGCGCTTAAGGTAACCGGGTAACCGTGCTAGACACTAGAGGGTCTAGGGGTCAGGAGCACAAGTTTGATTTATTGTCTTTAATCGTATTGCAATAAATCCCAGTCAGCGATCACATGAAATCAACGACAAGCACACCTCTAGAACTGCACATCAAAAAAGAAAGGAAAGAAGCTAGTGGATTCAATTCTTGAAGATAGATAAACTTGACCTACAGATAGAAAGATTCACCCATCTTACGGAAAGTCTAATGTCTGTAAAAAAAGACGTTCATGATATCCGTCGCCTATAATTCGCACCAGTGCTTCCAATGAAATATCTATTTTTTAACAAGGCCAAACCATGGAGGTCGGAATTCCTCCTCGGTCAAACCTGGTCAGTACAATAATGAACCAATAAATATTAAGAATAAAAAAAAATATCGACTGATGTAATAATTTCGACACATCTCATTGACTCAAGCATCGACCATATAGAAAGGGGGTACAATCGAATTGTTAATTGGAAAAATTAGTCAACATGGCAATTATTGACTGTTCGGAATATAACTTTGAAGTCACCATGTTACGCATGTATATATAGAATACAACACGGGGTATTCCGTATTGCCCGAGGTATCGGCCCGACCGCGGGTCGGATCGCCCGACGGCCGTAAATATCATCATCACCATTAAACACCTTTTAAACAGCTTAAGTTCTTTTATTTTATTCTTGGAGATTTTCACGCTTTGAATGCGTATAGTCCTGCATAGAGATGCCGCTCGTTTATCTGAATGACGGGCACAGCGCCAATCTGTCTCACGCTATAAATCAACTGAAGAGTTTCCATGCCAACATCTGCTTGGAGATCTTCGTATGGTTGTGCAGAGGATCATGGGTAATTTCCTTGAAGCTGTCAGCCATTTTGTCGTCTGCTACAGTGTGGAGTCGCGACTCGACTAGTCGTTGTCCTTTCTTCATAGTTTTCTGCACTCCAAGGCTGAAGCTAAAGCGATTTGGTCTGTGTTGGGCTTTGGTGAGGTAAGCTTACATTGTCGAGAGGTAATTATAAGGCCTCAAAGTTAAAATTCTGTACCATATGTCCATGTCATTCCAAACAAAGAACAAAACTGCCCCCCCTCCCCATATATTTGATCTTTAGGCTGTGTCCCAGGATAGAATTATACTTTACACGGTCGTTTCATGTTTACTACAGATCATCTGTCATTGCATAAAAATATCATGGTCTTGTGCGTAACGATACAATCAATAGTGCAGAACAAAATGTCAGCTATCAAATTGCATTCATGATCAAACATTTTAGCTGGTTATTCCATCTTCTAGATCATTGATGAACGCCATCATGAAGCTGGAGAAGGTGCTGATCATAGGAAGAGGTTTTGTTGGTTCTTCCCTGGCGGCTTCCCTGGAGAGTGCAGGAGTCCAGGTGTACTGTACCCGGCGGCAGAGGGGAGAGGAGGGGACTGGTACCAGCCAGTTTGTGTTGGAGGAGGAAGAAACCTGGAGGAACCTGCCAGAGGAGGTGGATGGAGTTGTCTGGACTTTACCAGCAAGGTTGAAATCTTGTTTTGTCTTCACTGCCTCCTTCGCAGACTTGTGGGGCGTCGGCATTAATTTATTTATGGGAGTTACGTGAGTTATGCCTCTCCTCTGGCTAGGCAAATTTGGATTCTGAACTTCAGACATGACATCGCTTCTTATTTGAAATCTGGAGTAAGTATGATAAAGGACATGTGGGTTAATCTTCAGCACAAGGAGAACTGGACATGCTTTGGTTGCAAATTAAGTCTGGACTTTACCAGCAAGGTTAGAGCCTTGCCACTTTTAGATAATTATCACGTTTAATAGATTTTCCATGATTAGAAATAGCCATGCAAAACGTAAGTTGAGATAATGATGGTTGCCCTGAATACATCATGATGATGGTAAAGGAAGTGCTTTTGAAGTGTTTTGATATTTGAAATTTCTTGGTACCAATTTTCTTGTGGTTGTCAGTAACTGGAACTTCAATAAAACAAAACAAAACAAAATAAAATAAATAAAGCATTTCTAATGATACTATATTGATACATTGATGTAGCAAGTTAAAAGATCCTCTTTTGTTGCTGTTATGATATTCCCATTCAATATTGATGTTGACACTATTCTTCTCTTACTAGTCCTTTGTCACAGGTGCAATGATTTCATGATGCTTATCTCCATTCCATACTGGACCTGAAGAAACCGGTGATTGTATATGGCCAAACTGGCCGTTACCACGCAGATGAAGCTCACCAGTGGGTGGATGAGGAGACAGAGAAGATAAAGAAAGAAGGAAGCAGGGAAGAGGGGGAGGATTTCTTACAGGAGAAGGGGGCCACTGTTCTGGTGCTTGCAGGTATGCACATTGCAGCAGATCATGACATTTAAAGATTTTTAGTTTCAAAACTTTTTGCTGTTCATAATAAGTTGGCAACAAACTACTTTGTCTCTGTTCATCCAGCATACTACAGACCATACAATGTGTATAATACATGATACACTATATTTTCAGGAATCTGGGGTGAAAGTAAGAATGGACAATCACGACACCCAAAGTCTTGGTTTGAAAAAGGCTACATCAAAAATGTTGACAAGTTCCTGAACCTAGCACATGTTGATGACATTGTCAAGGTGACAGTAGAAGTTCTCAGAAGACATTCAGAGACAAGAGGCCAAGCTATCAATGTTTGTGATGGGAATCCCATGCTGTGGAGGGATATCATACAGGGGTGAGTATTCTGTGGAACCCTTGCATCATGAATATGCAATCTTATATACCAGTTACGTTAAAGCTTTTCTTTGCCTTCATGAAAATGGAGGTATTGTTTTCTGTGTGTTTGTGTTTTTTTTAGTCTTGATGGATTGTGATGATATTTGGTAGAAGATGAAGATCAGGGTTGATTTTGTGCCTTCTAGTGGCTTTCATTTGTACTGCAGCAGAACTTCTGTGTTTTGTCCTGGACATGCTATGGTCTTGTTTTGGTAGACGCTACAGTGCCTGGCAATGCCATATCCATAGAGATTATCTTCTCCTTGATGGAGCTAGAAAATTTCTCATTGTGTGCAAATGTTTTCTTACAGATTTGGTTTGGAGCTCCCCCTGGAAACAGAGAGTCAAATTGCAGCCTCCTCCCAGTCACAAGTTTCTAAGCGTGTCCATAACAATCTTCTGCAGGGGATAATGGGAAAGGATTACAAGTTTCAGACAGTTCTGGATGCCAAGAAATGATGTTGTGATGAGAATCCAAGAATGTCTTATTTTTCAAGATACACTATGAAGCAATAAGATCATGTACAAACTCTGAGACTTTTACAGTTTTTGAAGTCAATGATATGAAATAAATATGTTCACTACACTAAGAAGTGGGGATGTATATTTCTTCTAAAGGCAGTTTTATAATTTCCTTTACAGCTGTACTTAATGTTTCTCAGCTTGAAGAAATATTTTTTACATATGTATGTAGGTCAGCATGCCAGCTAGCATGAAATGTGTCAACAGATGAGAGGCTTTATTTGCAAGCCAGTTGTCCATTAAACTACCAGTGATTAACTGTATATTTGTCTTGTCTTACAAATGTAACATAAAAGAAGAAAATACCCTATGCTTCTGAGTTGTAACATTTCAACAATGTTATAAAAGTTGGTCAATTGCAGATCAACTGTAAAAGTCTAAGCTAATAAAGCTCTTTGGGACTAACGCAGAACTAAAAGTTTGCAGCACTGACCCTCGAATAACCTCAGTCTGTAATTGGGTCAACCCTTATGTAACTTTTATGTAACTATGTGCATAAGTCAGACCCTGGGGCTCATCAACAGGTTTGGACAGGACAAGGGACAGACCAGGACTAAGCTAAGAAAAGCCTCCAGTGTGTGCTGAGGAGTTGTATACATTTGTAAGTCATGATTTCATCTCTCTGAAATTTTTCAACCGTTTGTGCCAGTCGAACAAACTTGCCAAAGTAGGGAGAAGATCAGATGGTAAGCAGGCCTGCCTGGTCCGAAAAGTCTCAACAGTAAGAGATGACAAGACTGGACCAGGCAGCGAGTTCCACTGCTCAGATATAGTACGGGGAAAGTCAGCGTACTTCAGTGTGTCTCTGTGTGTTGAATGTTGATGGTTTGAAACTTAAAGTGGTGGCTCCGCTGAGTGCATCCCTGACCTACATTTATTCATGGTGTACCATTGTATAACATTTCTTTCATAACTTGCCCAGTATATGTACAATGTAGTTAAGCAACATTTAGAAACAACTGTCAGAGACATGTTACCGCCTTGAGTGGTTCAATAGGCAATGCCCAGGAAGATCATCTGATTCAAACCTCCATTCTTTTTCTTGAAAAATGCTGATTTCAGTCATCATGGAGAAGGTGCTGATCATAGGGACAGGTTTTGTTGGTTCTTCCCTGGCGGCTTCCCTGAAGAGTGCAGGAGTCCAGGTGTACTGTACCCGGCGGCAGAGGGGAGAGGAGGGGACCGGTACCAGTCAGTTTGTGTTGGAGGAGGAAGAAACCTGGAGGAACCTGCCAGAGGATGTGGATGGAGTTGTCTGGACTTTACCAGCAAGGTTGGAATCTTGTTTTATCTTCACAGTGTCATGCACCTTAAGCCTCCTTTGCAGAATTGTGGGGTGGCGGTGTTAGTTAATTTCTGGGACTTACGTGAGTTATGCCTCTCCTCTGGCTAGACAAATTTGGGTTCTTAGCTTCAGACATGATATCGCTTCTTATTTGAAATCTGGAGTAAGTATGATAAAGGACATGTGGGTTAATCTTCAGCACAAGGAGAAACTTAATGCAAAATTGTTTGGCCTGGACATGCTTTGGTTGCAAATTAACTATGGAGCTGTTGGAGTATTTTGCTGTGAAAAGTTGAATGAACTCAATCTTTGTTACATGTAAGTCAGAACAATGCCAAACCTTGACAATTATCAACACATGCAGCTTGACCGACCGACCAATAGATTTTTCTATGCTTCTGAGATGTAGATGAAAAATTGAAGCCAATTCTCCTTCTCTTAGACCCTTGTCTCAGGTGCAACGATTCTATGACGTCTACCTCCAAGCCATGCTGGACTCTGGGAAACCAGTTATTGTGTACGGCACCACCGGCCGTTACCATGTGGAGGAAGAACACCAGTGGGTGGATGAGAAGACCAGGTACAAGCAGACAGAAAGTGGCAGAGAGGAGGGGGAGGATTTCTTACAGGAGAAGGGGGCCACTGTTCTGGTGCTGGCTGGTAAGTGCATCAGGGTTTGTTTCTTGGGCAGCCTGGGTGCCATCCTGTCGCTAGCTACCATGGACTACGGAGGATGGCACCCAGGCCAGAGCCTCGTCAGTGGTGATTTTTTCTTGACAATAGGCGAAAATCAATACGCGTGTGGATGTTCTCCATAAATTTAAATCAGTGTGGCCTGAACGCAGCATTTAATACAATGAACCTATTTTGCAGGTATCTGGGGTGAAAGTAAGAATGGACAGACAAGAGGGCCTAAGGCGTGGATTCAAAAGGGGTACATCCAAGCTGTTGATAAGTTCCTGAACCTATCCCATGTTGATGATATTGTCAAGGCAACAGAAGTGGTTATGGAACGTCCCGAGTTGAAAGGTCAAGCTATCAACGTCTGTGACGGAAACCCCATGCTGTGGAGGGATATTATACTGGGGTGAGTGTTCTGTCTCTGTTTGTTGCATTAAAAATTATTGAGTTATACATAAGAAAAGTATAACACTGGCATTAGTTGTTCTTAGACTAATGAATATTTACATTTTTACATGAGCCTGAGGTTTGGACTAATGCTCATCAACTTTGTATTGCAAGACTTTAGAAATTAACCCCTGAAACTCCAGATGGGATAGACCTTCATAATAATCTGGTCTTTCTTGTGCTAAGGCCAGCCTTCCTGTAATAGAATTTTTGAGTCATCTTGTTTGGAAACAGGACCGTAGTCAGCTTTATGGAAAAGTCTTGCCTGTCTACCTAGGCCAGCCTTTTCCGTAAACCCACTGTAGTCACAAACCAACGATGTGCGTGAAAAGTACTGTAGGTATCCTTTCTAGAGTTTTGTTTTAAGACTTTTAACTAACTTATTATATATTATATTGCATGTCATTTATAGGTTAGGTTACGCGCTTCCCCCAATGACAATGACAATGACTGCCATTTCATCACGACCTTCCAAGCGAGTCAGCAACAATCTGCTGCAAAGCATCATGGGAAAGGATTACAAGTTCCAGCAGGTGATGGATGTTGACCTTGCTCTTGACAAACAACGCTAGAGAAGAAAAACATACGATACCTGGTCTTTTAAGGAAAAATGGTTACTTAAACACTTTTCTAGTCTCTGACAAGCACCAATGGGTTGCCAGAGTAGTAAAACTTCAAATTGGACTAAGGAATATGCCAGAGGAGTTAGCAAGTTTTTCAGTAGTAACAGAAACTAAGGATGATTTTATTTGACCAAGATCTGAAAGCTGATACCGATACCTTTGCATGAAGTGCAATTCTAAAAATCTTATTTGAAGAGGGCATTTTGATCTGTTGGGCTTAGGTTTAATGAGTTAAAGCTACCGGTATTGATTTTCTCAACTTGTCAAAGCACTATGCCGTTAGTAACAGGTTTATTGCATCTGATAATGACTGATATGCAACGAAAATCAAAAGCTTTGACCAGAACGTTCCAATACAGATGTATCAAGGCCTACAACATGCTTCCCACCCACATAACAACATCAAATCCAACTACATTTAAGACCAGGATAAGAGAATGGGTTAAAGCACAGAAGGACAACAATCAACCGCTCGCCTCATGGTGGTAAACCTTGTACATTCATTTTGTAAGTCGATTAGTCAACTGCACAATCAAATTCATAGGAATGTGATCAGGATTATGTTTTAATTCATTATTTGTCAGTGTATTTTGAGTTACCACTATAATTTATTCTGACCTCCGACCTCTCCCTTTCTGGTTTGAGTTGCATTATCATTTTGTTTAATCAAGAGATTTTGTTGTTAATTTGCTTCATAGTTGACTACATTAACTGATTATTAATTTGATTTTGAACTTAAGTTACCTTATGTTACTTAATTATGTTACTTTTATAATGTTAATGATCACTCTGATTCGAACTCAGTTTATGTTACTTAATTATGTTGATTATTTTAAATTATTCAATTTATGTTAATATTGAGTTGAATTCTGTACATTTCTGTTGTTATAATTTTGAATTTTATGTGGACTCCAGGAAGAATAGTGGTCAGTTGAACACTAATGGAGATCTAATAAAAACAAACAAACAAAAAGGATGAACAACAAGTTCCTCAGTTTTACAACTGTACATTCAAACATATTCAAACTGGATTATCTTTCAGAGAATCTGAACAAATATATATCTATCTTCTACAAATGATATCTCATACATGTACATCTGTCTAAAAATCTGCAGATCTTTGTAGTTTCTTTGAACTTGTGTCACAGTAATAAAGGCGTGTATACATAATCAATTGATTTTACTACCTACTTGTCGATTCCAGAAGTAACCAAAACAAGCTATATGTTCTCATGTCGTAGCAAATCATCTAAAAGGATTCTTGTTTTAAACATTATTATGGGTTCACCACACCACGAAGTGGTGGTGAACCCATATTGCTTTTTCTGATGTTTCTTCTTCTTCTTCTTCTTCTCCTCCTGTCATTTTTTAAATGGATTCAGCTTCTTCATTTTAGGGCCCAAGGTCCTGAAATTTGGTATGGAGGTACAGTGGGCAAATACCCCTAGGCGTTTTTTAAATTTTTGTGATACAGGCTTTTATAGTGGTTTTATTTGAGTTTTTTGGCTGTGTTATAGCAAATGTATTACTGTGTTAGTGTACACGTTTGGGCATGAGTCATCACAATGGAATGCAGGGCATCAACCAATAGGCATGCAGCTTTCCTCTATTCTTCTTGCTGATTGGCTGTTGGGATTTAACTTGATTAACACCTGCACAGAGCATTTCCACCTGCACAGAGCATTTCTTGCTGATTGGCTGTTGGGATTTAACTTGATTAACACCTGCACAGAGCATTTCCATACTAACAGTATGTCTGTATTCAAGTGTTTTGGTAGGTATTTCAAGCTTTCCTGCTCCAGCATTGGAATGCGGGGCATGAACGTTTTTTTTATTTTGAAAATCAACAGTTTGCATTATGCAATTAAAAATCCTAACCAATAAAGTAGGGAATAGCTATCCAACTGTTGTTTTAGTTGTATGTTACTTCATATTATAGTTATATCAATGTAAATCATTGTTTTCCCTTGTGTTTCTCATTCTTTCCCTGCCATGTCGTAAAATGTGGTGAACCCATCG